AGATAAGTTGTCAACGGAGTGACAATGCTGATGACAAGTTGGCAACTGTTTCTCTACCCACGCAGTTTGTGAAAGTCAAGGGTGAGGTGTCTCACATGGGAAGGAGTGAGGCAGTAATGGCATTGATTATTTATGCATCTAAGTGGAAATTCTAACACTTATCTTCTTCGAGCTTTAGATTAAACTTGTCATCAAATAATTCCGACATTCATCTCCGTTCTACCAAGCCTAGAGATAATGGAATCCCCTCATTTGTAGAATACCTATAGTGTCAACTGTCAAGAGTATTTCATGGTAATTAATTAAATAATTTGACTAGTTAAATTTCGTAATCTTTAAAAAACTCTTCCCCTTTTTTTGACCGGGGAAAATCATCCAACGGCTTCTCCCGCCTGGGTGTGGCAGTGAGTGTCAAACTCTTACTGACTAAAAACCACACCGTTCCTACTCCTGCACTTCAAACCGGAGGCCCGGCAACCCGTTAAATCTTCTCCGTATCGGCATCAGCCCTATTGAGCCCCATTTGTGGCGGTCTGAAAAAATATCTTACCTAAGTTATGCTCAATAAATTGTTACCTGTATTGTTAGGTTACTATTGTTATCTGTATTATTAGGTACTATTTTCATTACTTACTCTAGTAAGTACCTAGTAAGTTTCACATGCTTCAATACAATTAAACCTTTACAGACACGCTATACTTATTCGCAAGTTGCACTATAATTCTAAAGTATCCTTGAACCTACAGCCAGGGTGAAGGTTATCACATCACAGTAATACATACAAATGTCTCGTAAACAGTAACATAACTTCTAATGGGTCTATCAATCTAAAAAAAACAATCACCATAAAATATCTACAATAACTATTAGTTTGTTTATTTTTAAATAGCTCTTTATACCGCAAACTATACATGGATGCGTAATAGACAGTGATCAATGACAAACATATAAAATGTTATAAAATTACAGCAAAGAGTATAGACTCGATTGCACGATTGGCACTGTGACTCAGTGTACTGGGGAGATCGTCTGTGTTGCGTAGTGCAGAATGCGTAAATGCAATTCATTTGATAGATCACCCTACAAGATGACGGACAGAACTAGTCTCAAAGTGTGATCTGATAACATGTTATTATTCTGAGGACATCACATGGACTTGACTGTGAACTGTGATGTATTGTATTTGTATCAAATAACAGAAAGAATAACTGACTTGACTGCCTCGTTGGCCGAGTAGTCGCAAGTGCGACTGCCGGGCAAGGGGTCTCGGATTCGATTCCCGGGTCAGGCTAACTATTACTGGGTTTTAAAAATAAATCTCATTAGTAGCACGGAGTCTGGAATTGTGCCCGGCATATGGCAATAGGCTGGCTAAAAAGTGGGTATTACATTGTACAGTGGCATAATGTGGACCTCTGCCTACCCCTTCTGCGATAAAAGGCGTGATGTTATGTTATGTGTAGAAAGAAGAAATAACCAATACCCTATGTATTGGTTATTATCGCTATTTAAAATGATGAAACTTATTACTTGTAAATAAGGGGGTTTGAGCCAACAACTTTAATGCATCCCAGTTAACAAGCACTACAAGAGATTACAGTACAGGCACAATAGCTTCAAAGAGCAATTAAATATTTTTGCTCATTAAACAAAAAATAAATAAGCGCGCGCGTAGGTCGCGTGCCGCGCGCAACACGTGCCCGGCGCGCGCCCGGCAGACGTGCCATATAGAGATGAATCATACGTGCTTTTATGGATTATAGATTCTTTTTTTAAACATAAGCATAGATACAAAAGCCTTGTTTAAGAAAAAGTAATTACATTGTAGGTTTTGTACCTACGCGAGCTTTTTGAGCAAGGTACGCACATCAAATTATTTATTTTTAATGCAGAAAAAAATATGTTTGAGTCGTATAATTTCAAAAATTGTAATTTTTAATACTAAAATAATTTGAAAGGAAGCTTAAAAAATGATATAATGTAACAAAAAGAACAGGTTCCACCGAGATTTGAACTCGGATCGCTGGATTCAGAGTCCAGAGTGCTAACCATTACACCATGGAACCGTTGATAACGGAGGCCGAAATAGCAGTTCTGTATCAAAAAGGCTTTTTGGAAATAAAAAATAGTGTTGTACTCAGTAATTTTGAATCACTTTTATAAAATGTATGTAAATTAAATATAATATTTTGGTAATACTAAAATATTATTTCTCTTTAAATTTAAAATAAAACATAAACCTTAATTTTTACCTCTAAATCACACTATATGTAAAATTATTAAGATCACAAAGGCTATCATAGATTTTTTATTTCGATATCTACCGACTGAGCAAGTATTTATAGTGTATCCACTTACAATACTTAGAAATTAATTCAATTTAAATAGAAACTTCCAATTAAATAACGTATGATGGATAACGTCATCATTGAATTATGGCAATCAAATCGATTACAATCGATCAACGAATTTGACAGTCTCTCGAATAGGAAGAGTTAAACATTATATCGATTGCAAAATTATAATTTCATTTCAACACCCTCGTGACGAGAACATCAAATCGAAAATTGATGACGAAATCCGATTATCAAGTTTGCGAAACGATTCAACCTGTTGAATCGGAAAGAAATACGTTCCTTTTTATTCAAATGTTTTATTTTCTGTCAGAGTAAAAAAAAAAGCTATAAATAATGCTAATATTTATCACTATTATTGACATTTGTGCTCCTGTCCGCACGCCACATTGACCACATGAATTATGCGCACAAAAACTTGTGGGAGCTTTATTATTATAATAATACATTATTATTCGTCTCGTATTGACATATCTGTGTGGACGACCGGCCTTTTATAGGGCAACCGAATGCACTTGATATTATTTGTAGAATAACCGTCTCATTTCCGTGCATGGTTTAGAGCTGTAGTTAGGTGTAACTGATTTCTTAAATGAACTGCATATTTCATTAACTAGTAACTAAATTAAATATATATATATATTTGCTATTCAACAACCATTTAAACTACATAAAATACTATGTTAAAAAGTAAAAATTAATCATGTCTCAGCTCAGATTACAACAATAGGTCAGCAAGTCAGTATGTATCGTTAATTCGTTACCCAGATAATCTAATCACACAACCAAAACTAGTGGCTCCATAACAATGTAGCAATCATTATTATTTAATAAAGTAAATTGCATCAAACGTTCCCCTGTCATCTGATACACTGTTCTACCGGGGACTGACCATACCGTTTTATTGCTTAACAATTAGCTACCGGGATGGGGCGCAATCTATTGTCATATGAACACCCTTATTCCCATACACATAAAGTTTAATTTAAATGTATAGCTGACCTACATTTCAATAACAGCCAACAAAAGAATTGACCACACACTGACCTTCCACTTAAACAAGTGGTCAGAGAAAATAGCGAGGATTATAGTTAATAGATATGTAACAACCGAAGTGGTTTAAATGTTTGCGTAACTCAGTACACTTGTACAAATTTAATTAAACACAGCCACTGGTCAGCCTTAAACAAATATTAATCAAAAAGTATTCAGCACTTGTTATTTTATCATGAAATTGTGTTTTGTTTGACTTTCATCAACAGCTCGTGGCTCTTGAATGTCCACTGCTGGACTGGGTTTTGTTATAATCTTCACATTTCGCAGATGGGTTGCAGAACTTGGATATCATTTCAAATGGCAGAAAGCAGTGCTACCCAGTACCTATCTGTTGAACTTTCAATTTAGGTACTAACCTAATTTACCCAAACGGCAACAGAAAATAAATTCAAAGAACCTTCTCACATAACAATAACTTCTGTTAATAGCAAAGTCTGTTATAATAAATATCAAACAATAACAATCATAACTGTAATCGTAAATATACCAGTTGGTAACCAAATAGTAAATCAGAAACGCCATAAACTATGCAAAGGAGGAATCAACGAAATTTATAACAGGCAACAAGTCATAAATTTATAATCACATTTAATTGAAATAGAATCGGTTTAATCGAATCGGACAACTATTCGATGAATGGAAACTAATGATTGAGCATGCGTCGTGTATTATGAAACGCCCCATCACTAAAGTCGACGATCTAATTTTAAATTAAGAACTTAGAGTGGCTCTTTTAATCTTTCTCGTTTTCTCTTCGTTTTGATTGTGGTCTTATTCTTTCATCAGCCTTCTCATTTTACTCATTGTAAATGCATTTGTTACATTAGCAATCATTACATAGATACGTATAAAATACCTAGGTACGTATAAAATTGCACATATGCAAATAAAAAAGTGGATATTACTATAATATATTATATTCGTAAGTATAATTTATTCGTTAATATTCATTTGTCGCCTAAACAATTAGCTAATGGAGCATTATTATAAGTTACCCCATTCAAATAAAATGCGAGTCCATCATGGGTCCATCATACGATTGTTGACAGCCGTTGAAATGGCTACAAATATTTTTAATTGCTTTTTACATTCGAATTTGACGAGTGCTGACATCTGTGACCAATTGAAATTAATTTTTAATTTTAGTCACAGTCTAACCATTAATAAGATTTTATGTTAAGACTTTTTATTATTTTCGAAATTGCATTGTTATTGTGACTTTAGCGAAATATTAAATCTTATATATGTAAATAAAACCGTCAAAAGCATTAGATAAACCTATCTACTTACCTGCAGCATGTATAAAAACTAGAAATAAATTGAAAGTTTTGTAAAATAAACATAAAAAATAAACTAGAGTTACTTTACAGTTAAATTAAACAAGTAAATTACTTTTTAAAGTATTCAGTTTACAGAAAAATCTGTTACTATTTTAGTTTCAAACAATTTGATGAATCTGTCTTTAGAGCCATCTATCATGAATGATAAAAAATAATGTTCTAAGAATAATAAAGACTTGCTTTATAGAGATGGCGCTATAAGTTGGGAAACGAAAATTGGAAAAAGTATGGCAATTATTTTATGCCAATTTATTGTACGTTAAGTTCATTGTAATTCAAATAATTTGGTTTTGAATATTTATTAAGAATTAATTAGTAAAAGTCTTGTTTGACAATTAGTGTATGACCATAATCATTGATTTAATTTGGCAACCAAGGGTTAACTTGACACTTTGTCAGATTGTCACTGCTGTCAATGCTTCATTCATTGTTGTCATTCCATTGATAAAAAATTGATCGGGTAGCAGCAGGCGACAAAAGTGAGCGCGAGTGCGGACAACTTATACTGAATTATTGATTTTCGTTAAAATATAACGTGTTACAAGAATCAACGCGGTGAAAGTGTTTGTGTAATTTCGTGTCTCGATGTCAACACAGTCTAAAACAATGCCGATGTTAGACTTAAAAATGTATGTGAGAGTTGTCGCTGCCGTGTTTTCTGTGAGTAAATATTGTTTATATTTATTTTAAAAACTCTTACATATTCTGTAACGTACTTTTTATTTATACATCTAAAAACCATGTTAACTAGCTTGAAATTATAATAAAAATAACTATTTTGTACCCTCATGTTTAATCGTATTAAAATCGTGCCGCAGTACGTTTAAATATTTTTTTAACGTAGTTAGTAAATTAATGCTTTGTTACACATTATTATCTACAAAACATAATGATGAACAAACACACAATATTGTGTTGTTCTATCTAAATGACTGTTAATGTTTGTTTATAATCTTTGTAAATATACAGACTTGTAATGATACAGAAGTTATCTATGTCTGACAAGGTTTAATTTGACTGTAAATTTAACCCACTGTTAACATAACAATTATTACTTAGACAATTTATTTAACTACTGATAAAAGCTTAAATAAGATGATGTTAAATCTAATTTATAAATGTATTTTTTTTTCTAGACTGAATATACCTATCTTTTATTTAGTAGTAAGCAACTGAAAAAAAACACGAATTTAATAGACGAAATATAATATGCTTATAAATAATATTAACTGCACTAAATGGCATATCAACAGACAAACATGTTTTTTTTTTATATTTATGTTCAAAGGTTTTTCTAAGTAATCCAAATAAATAAAGTGATTTGCAGAGTGTTTCAGGTCAAGGAACTGAGACATAGAGAGTTGATGCAGTTTGCTTAAAATAGCAAAACCAAGCCAGAAAACTAAAAAATATACTATAATGTACCATTTCAGCTTATTATGATACACTATAGAACTGGTGTTATAGACATCAATTCTAATTTCAAACTGGCCCACTTTTCTCTATGATTAATCAAAAATTTTTTTTCAGATATCATCGGCCACAGCATTTGTGCTAGCACTAATGCGCCTCCTCAACCCAGACCTATTTTACCTAGATCCTTTAGAAGGAAATGATATAGGTAATGCACTAGGTATGCTATAACTCCTATCTTTAGATTGCTCTTGTAACATTATCATGGATATTGCTGCTACTCAATAATAAAGGTTGAATTACGAGTTTCAACTGTCTATGTGGTGTCTACTACTGAACTAGAGCTATTGTTTAATAAACTAGTCTAGCCTAATAACGCCATCGCATCTTTGTTTAGTCAAAATAAAACGTAAATGAATCTGCTTTGGCCTTTGATAATTTTTTTAAGTCTCATACCTATTCAAATGGTATACAAAAAGTATTTCTTTAACAACAATTAGGTGCTTACAATTTTCATCTTTATTGTCATGCCTAAAAACAATTTAAAAACATTTATTGCAATAGCTGTTTCTTTTGCAGGTGTCCACTACTTCATATCAGGTCTAATGATAGTGACAAGTGGCATAGGTTTCCTGAACAGCTGTGTGGTGATGAACCGCAGTTCCAGTAAGAACACGGGTCGGAATATCACCACCTGGTTATTACTGGATTCCTTGTTTGAAACCACGCGGGTTGTGTACGTGTTCGTCTGCGAAATTATGCTGAAAGGGAAGGGTCCAATGCAATTGTATGAATTGCTGATCAGCGCTGCGCAATACTGTAAGTTTCCGTTCCTTTGTTGCCCCCCTGTATCTTGTGTCATATGCTTCCATCCGGGAATCAAAGTGTCGTTCGTGACGTAACACTCAATTGCCCAGTTAGCGCGCTATTCGACCCCTCTAATAACCCTGTCATTGTTATTCATTTTGCCGAGTTAGTTAGGTACATAGGACTTGCTGTCTGCGTCCATACTCTTTTGTCCACTACCCAGCGATAATAATTAGGTACACATCGACCAATGCACATTGTACAGTGACTCCTAGAATCATCAAAATAATACAAACCAATAAAAATATTTATAAAACACATCTCTTGACGCTTTCCAAAAGGCGATCTGCAATATTTACCGCCGGGTACTGCAATAGGTTCAAAAGTTAGCTACGACCTCGCGATTACGGAAGCTATCATAGCTACTTGGCAAGACGACAAGAGGATGTGGCCAATCGTACATTGAAAATGAATTTATGTAACACATCAATAATATTTGGCATCCTTGATACGTCTGTTTTTTCCCGACATAATGGCGGTCTTCCTGCGACTGCGACGCCGCTCGTGATCGTGTCCTTTTCTTCTCTTGATAAATAATATGTATAATTTAATATCGAATTTAAGGACAACGAATGAAGTCCTAGAAAATTATTCGTAATCATATTGTAGCTCATTAAGAGACTAGCAAATTACATAAGCACCTTAAGTAAGCACTTAGGTAGGCACCTACACGATCGAAAACGGAGGAATGTCTACTAGTTATTGTTGTGTTTTTGCTCTGTTTCGATCAAACTACCTTGGCACAGTGCTGAAATGATATAACAAAGCATGTACTTGAACGCGATGATTTTACAATAGCTAATTTGTCAGGCTGCAGTTTACACACCAAACAACAAATAAAAAAAATCTGCTGTACTGTAATTATGTAAGAAAAATATGCCAATTGCTAGTAAGACCTAGCGACAAGTCACTTCCAAAGTAACATATGACCCTAATATAAATTCACATCGAATAACTCAATATGGAATAAAATATTGTTATAGGTACTGCAAAACAATTCACCACGTTTAGTCGGGTACCTTCGCAATATTTACGTACTACGCTCCCTATAGAACTACCGAGGGGTCGTGTTGTATGCCACAAAAGATTACACGCCGTGAAAGGTCACACCATTAGTTTAGTAGGTCAAGGTTTATTGAGCTACACACCTCTGTTGCCTGAAAACATTCTCTAACACTAACAACTATCACTACTCATATCACTCTTCGATTTATTAATGCTTCCCTTTTATTTTCAGTATTGGACAGCTTTCTCTACTGTCAGATGATACTGCGACACTAGTATAAGGAGATTATCCCTAATTTAGGTGATACTATAGTTGCCATCCATAGGATGCGCTCTTCCGCCCCAGAGGCTGATAAAATAATGCATTTGGTTTACAAGAATTGTATGATGATCTTGTAAAAGGTTGAACGCGTAGGAGAAGTTGACTTCTCTTTGATAAGTGATCGTTTTTTGTTTGTTTATTTTGATTGTAAAGCATTGCTTGGGTGTAAAATTGCCTGGTATCCAAGATCCAATAAGGTGTTATAGTTTTAAAGGCCCGCTATATAGTGTCGGTAAGAACTGCACTGCGTGTTTGCACATCCAGGCAATGCTGACTCAAAGGACCTTGTCCACATGTATTGTAAAATATAAGATCATTCCATTGTAGCTGTGATTATCGAATATTACGAATTAAATTGGTAAGAATCATCTGATTATTGTATTAGGTTGAGCCTTATAGCATTAATTTAGGCAAATGAAAAGAATTTTTGCTTCGAAATCCCTAAACTAAACTGTATTTATTTGATTTGATCTCATCGTCCCTTCTCGCCGTACAAAATTAAAGGTTTTTGTATCAGAGACAATAAATAAAATTGTTAATGTAATGTGTAAGCTTTACCTGAACATTCTGTACTGTATCTTGCCTTGTCTATGTACATTCTTCTAGATAAAGTCTAGCCCTAAGTAGAACGAACTAGTATTATCTCGATTTAAGAATTAGATATACTAAACTACATAATTGAAATGGTCAGACGCGGATTAAATAACAGAACTACCATTTTCTATGAAATATGAACTACGAAACCTCCTTTCATTTAATTATATCATTATCGTAGTTTCTTAGTGTCCTGTGCCAGCGACACAATAAGATATTCTACTTTGTATTAAAACAATAAAGCTGAAAATCTAATGAAGAAACTTTACAGTAAAGTTGATCTACCACAAATATGTATAAGTTAAAAAAAAAAACGAGTAACTGAATACTGTAATATTACAATGCAATAGAATAGTTCGTGTCTGACCAGTATCTTCTTCCCACCGATATTTTTACATGTTTGTTCCTCTCCTAACACTAAATATTTCACGTACGAGTATTATTTTTAACTGAAAAAGTATTTATAAGTTTACGAATCTTCTTTAACTGTGATTTTCGGTTGTTATATTAAGTTTCGGTTTGTTATGGAAAATAAAATTAAAGTTTTTTTTATAGAAAGGCTATCATGGATTGATTTGTAAGAAATACTAGTCAGATTAGAGATTATTTTAAAGAATCGTACCTAAATTGTTGATTGTTTTGAGATTATAAAAAAACTAAAAATTAATGAATTTCAATTGGTTAAATACCTAATCATGTTTGTGAATGTGTATATAGTTGTATAGATGCAATCTTGACCGATTTGTAACTTCGTTGAACGAGTAAATAAAATACAGGTTTTATAATGAATTAATCTTTTATTTCAGTGAGTTGTCTGTCCAAAAATATAATGCGTACGCAGCTATTCATTTCTCAACAGGCTACAGAATTACAAAGTGCACTTTGATCGTACTCTAACAAACTATAATACAAGGCAATAGGGGGCGCCACACCGCGCCGTACATCGACCAATATGTAGTGGACACAACAATTTCCAATACACAAAATTCTTATCAAATTAACTTCTATCCAAAGTGAATAAGAAAACAAAGTAACGTGGCGAAAACTTACGCATTATTTAATGTCTACTTTCCTTGGTAAAATCTAGCTTTAGACTTAGACGGCACTGTTCCACGTTAATTTGTTTCCTCACTTACAAAAACCCCGCGATGTGTGGCGCGGTGTCTGCCGTACATTACACGCGCTGTAGGTATGCAAGCGGCGTCGTATTCCAACAATTAACTCACTAGAACGAACGCTCAACGAAACACTCGTCAACAACACTAAACTGTTTGTTCGATAAATAACCTTGTTGGAACTGTCTAAAGTTAATTTTTGTCTGTTTAAAAGTTTACTAAAATATTTTATGCGGAATTTATGGACTCCAATTCGTTAAATGCTGTTTATTTCAATGCAAAACACTTCCAACAAGGTACAATTTACATGAGAATGTCAAATAGCACGTGGTATCAACAACACTATTAGGCATTGCTATTTCGTCATCCATTCAGCCTATTATAAACCTAAGTTTGTAGTTACAATACTTAAAATTAAATATATATAACTCCTTCAAAAATTATATTGATTACATTATTAATTTTTCAAAATTTGGTAAAAATTATACATGTACGAATTAGTTCATAAACGTCGAACCGAAAGTACGAAGCAAGCGACCACAGTCCAAGCGAGTTTCGTAGTACGTCATAAAGTATTTATATAATTTTACCCTGTACATAGTCAAAGACGAATGTTATTACCAATCTTTTCATTTACTAGGCCGGTTGCATTGAGTCAACAGGGATCTGTATCGCAAGACTAAGGGTTCAACTAAGTATGTACAAAATCCAGCACCTATGTGCACCTAATGTCCTATCTAAATGAATATTTCATTTTGTTAGTTTTTTGTTAATTGACTAATAGCCAGTCCTAAATAACCTTCAGTAGCCAAACTTCAACGAATAGGTTTTTGGAACTGGCCGACTTTTCAGTAGTAGATATAGCTACTATTTCATTTATTTTTCTAGCTCTGGAATCGTAAGATAATATAATCAGCGTCCACCAATGTTATCCTGTCGACTCGCATAATATATTGCAAAATTATCGAAAGCTACATTGATGTAATTTCAAAAGGTACAAAACGCTTCATTAGCACAAACAATGCTCGAGCAATTTATCATTAAATGTAACAAAAGTAATACTGGTTGATCAATTTCGCCTGGTAATTTAGGGACTTCATAAATTGTGCCGATTTTCATTATATTAATATTGTGGTTTCTATGGGACCTGGACAGCAAGCCAGCACACAAATTCATCACAACTTTACACAAAACTATTTGCAATCTTTCCACCTTCAATGGCACAAAAATATATCGCCGATCTTTTTATAATTCATTGATAAAAGTTATAGAATTCTAATTTACAACTATTGCTTGTAGTACGAAAATACTATGTTTTATTTATATTTAATGGCACTTCTAAAACTTTTATATTATTTAACTTCCAATCGATGAAGATGAACACTAATTTGATACTCTTACATTATGGCAAAAGAGACATTTTAATACGAAAACAGCTATGTCCAGCTCAAGTATTCACTCGTTAACGCTATTATCTCATAATATTTGCTAATTATTTTACATTATTACAATGTAGAAATGCATAAAATCTTGCTAGCATAGAGTTAATATCCTTATAAGAAATATTGCTATGTTCTGTGTACTAAGAATCAGACGGCACACGGGAATATATGGGAGTGGAACCCGGGACTGTCAGACGGAGTACCAGGTGTGGACAACTGAGTATGGGGCACTGCTGACCCATACTCACTTGTCTCCACTTGAAAATCATTTTGTAACTTGTATTATAACATTTTTCAATAAATTCATCTCACAACCCACTACAAAGTCGTAAACAATGTACAAATTGAGTGAATAATATACTCTAATTACAATATATACGTATATATAATACAGTTTCGCGAGATACATCTGAGATCTAAAACATAAGGAACTTAACAATAACTGTTCGAACTCAATACATCAAACAAAACGAAACAGTTCACGTTCAAATTATTTGTTACATTATAGTAATATCTACAAATAATATTGTCATGAATTTAATACAATATTCTACATGGCGGATATGTATTTTCTTTCCCATCAAATACGCCAATAACTAAATACATACAAATGTATAGAATTTATGTATTTTAACTATCGAATAACACAAAACAGTGTAGTTATTTTAACAAATTCAGGACTTACTTCCAGATGTCTCAACAGAATTGATTCTACAGATTTATCTTTAATCGTACAAGTCATACAATCTTAAAAGATCTGCATAAAATAACTACACACCACACATCTTGATTCTAAATGAGAAAGAAAGTACATGAGCAGGTCACCGTCCATATACTTTGCGAGTGCCAAAAACGACGGTGGCGCCACCTGCTCCGCGCGGATATGTCTCAGCAACCTTCCTCCGGTTAGGTCAGGATTACCTTACACTACCTATCTATATTAACAAGCTACGCTACATCTAAGACGACTGGACACAACGTACAAACCGTCATTCAATGATTTTATTTAATTAATCTGCATCATTTTGAATCTGAGAAAGAATATTCAACAGAAAAATATCAATTACTAATTTATTATTAGTTTTTATGAAGCACACTAGTTTTCGGAAAAACTGTTAGTTTTAAATGCAGCAATTTGATTAAGTTGATTAACTTAGATAAGTTGATTAAATTGCTAAGACTGGCGTACACAGTTCCACTTCGGATTTTTGGTTGGACTCAATTATAAAACTTCCATTTTATTGTTCAATAATCTTCCTCAATATTCCAAATGAAACATAGAAGCACTCTATTTTGTAGCACACAGGAAATGTAATCCAATATCAAATTTATAAATTTCTTGTACCATACAAGGTACTCTAGATTTTTTGTAGTCTTACAAACGCTTGAAAGTGATGTATTTCCTTATGACGAAAATGCTATAAAGAAGTATTTTGATTGATAGCCTAAAATTGTTGGCTTAAATTTCGCACCAAACGTTAAAAGCACACAACGAACATCCCACACGAATGGCACTGTATTTGGCCAAGATATAATGGAGAAAAAATTCAAAAATATAGGCCCAATTTTGTAGTAAATGCATCGAGGGTAATAATTTAGGAACATGTTGGGAGCCGGCGCTCCGTCAAAGACGCGACGTGACGAGTGGAGTAGAGATGTCATCGAGTGTCTTAAGCGCCAACGTCGACGCATAACATTTGCAGGGGTCAAACACGACGGGACAACCGGGATTTCGTTATTCACACAATATCTCTCCCTATAGTTTCAGTGGAGATCACTCAGTAGTTGTTTAACACAGTCTACGGCATGAATCATGGCCAGATTTTTCGAAGAAGGCCTGAGTTCGCGCATTGTTAAATTTTTTTATTGTCTGCGCGTGAACTCAACCCGACGCTCCCGGGAGAGAAGCGAAGCGCGCGGGGCCACTAGCGGGAGCGGCGCGCGGCCAGCATATCGACATGGGGATCGTTCAGACACAAGGCATTTTACTTAACGTAAAATTCATTAATTCTTTTAATATGCCAGTTTAACATACAGTCCACTAATTCATTGAAGATACCCATCCCAAGAGTTATAGCCAATATATAATTAGATTCATGACTATTAAGAAGTTAGTTAATGAAAGAATAGGAAAAGAAAGTTGATAGTTAAAAAGAAAAATAATGTGAACCTTACGCCCACCACGAAAAGTCCAACCATAATAAATTCATGCCGCAATCTAAACACATCTCTACCCCACTCCTCTTATCTCCTCTTTACTAGAGTCCTGGCCGAAGTTTGGCACCTTCCTTTCCTTATTAAAAGTTCTGTTGTCGCTTACGCTTGAGATGTATAGCGTCGAGTATGGGCTGTCGCTTGCGATGGTAGCGCGCGCGCAGACGTTCGATGTCGGCCTCCATCTCTGCGTCCAATCGCGCCACGCGATCTTCCAACTCCGTTACTGATAGGTAGCCGAGCTGGAAGGATAAATTTTTATTTATATGGACGTTGGAGTTATGGGGAAGATGCGGTTTTGACTTCCAAAGCATGTTGATTTTATATATAAAGCGCGTAATGCAACTAAATTAGGTAGACACAAAAAAACAGTAGATTCTGGTAGTCATTATTACTTCAAAAACTCGAAACTCATCTTCCCTATAAAAAAAAACTGAACAAAATTTTTACAAGCGCAGGTTATTAATTAAATTAATCAAAGTAATTTCTTGTAGAAACCACACAATGTAAAGTAAAGCGATTAGTGACGCACACATCCGTTATCCGCTCGTATTAGTGACGTACGTACAATACGTACATATTGACACTTGACAGCTTCACAAACTGGGCACAGTACACAATACCAATCATATATTAGTGTTACGAATACTTTAGAAATAAGGACCGATTAATACTAGGTAATATATTAGTTAGAAGCAGGTAACGCTGTCAATAACAGGGTTGTAATAATCATGAATGAATACTTGCTTTGAAACTGTAGTCGAAGTCATGCAAATTAAGTAAATTGTATCGGGCTTCTTATATTTGGATCACTGTTTGGGTTTGCCACCTAGGGAGGTAGAAAATAGTTTTAGAAATGTATATAGTTCGTGTATGGGAGGGTCGGAGTGTGCGCCTTACGTGTCTGTAGCGGGAGGACGGTGAGGACGTGCAGCTGACTTACGAATTCGAAGTTCCCCTCCTCCACGAACGCGCGCTGGAATGCTAGCGCGGGGTTCGCTTCTGATTCGGTTTCTGCTGTTACACTGCCAGACAAATTATTGCCAATTAGTACACAGTATTGAAGTTTTATTTTTATGGCATAAGCCGGTAAACGAGCAGACGGATCACCTGATGATAAGCAATCGGCGTCGCCCATGGACACCTGGAACACCAGAGGCGTTACCGGCCTTTTGGGGAATTAGGAGTTTGAGGATCGTTGGGCATTCAGAAATTGGGGAGTTTGGGGAAGGGGATTGGGCCTCCGGTAACCTCACTCACACGACGAAACACAACGCAAGCGTTGCTTCACGTCGGTTTTCTGTGAGGTCGTGATATCACTCCGGTCTAGCCGCCACATTCGTGCCGAAGCATGACTCTCCCACATTTAATTTTTTTAAATTTCCACAATTAAATTGTTATTCTTACTTATAATTTGCACTATTCGGTAAATAACAATCAGGATTAAGATATTTTTATGGATGATTTATGGACACTCGTAACACCAAAGAGGAATAAGTAATGTACCTGTCTTCATCAGGCACTAGTCGGTGCGCAGGAGTGAGTGTCCCGTTGGTGGTGGCGGCCATATTGAGGTGGTTGACCTCTTTCTTCTCGAAGTGCTCGAGGAATAACGGCCGGTACTTCGGACGATTCGTGTCCATTGGATCTGTGTCGTGACCTGGAAGGCACAAGGATAATAAGGATATTATGTTGTATATTTGTTTGTCATGTGTATTTCCAGTACACAAATAAATAAATAAATATTTTTGCAATTTCCTATCCTCATCATTATCAGCTTACAACCCGTAGGCAATCCTTACTTAATATTATAAATCGGAAAGTGAGTTTGTTTGTTTGTTCCGGTTTCACTAAACCGATTGCTTTGATTTTTTGCAGGCGTAAAGTTAGAAGTCTGGATTAAATAATAGGGTACTTTTTATCCCGGAAAAAATTGATATTCTCGAGGGAAAACGAAATTATTGGTATAGATGGCGCTGTGTGTATTGGTATATGTCACATAGGCTACTTTTTATCCTTTTGTGACGCGAGCGAAGCCGCGGGTAAAAGCTAGTTAGTAGATATTTGCTTTAAGTGACATTTATCAACAGTAAAGAGTATCAATAAGAAATAACTACTTATGAACACATACAAGTACTGATTTTATTATAAGAATTATTGACTTCTTCTTGCCTATTTTCCGAAAAGCCCGTCGCTTATTCCCAATTACTACAACTCACAGCTATTAAGAAAAGCGTCGAATGGAAATAATAAAGGTCAAACTGTCCGTAAACCCGCAACAAACCAGACTCCACTCTCCTCAGAACAATTGGCAACACTTTCCCTGTTTTTTTTTTATTAGTTAATACTTCTTCTTACGTTTCATAGTAGCAAGGTCTGCATCAGGCTCATTGATGACCATGGTGCCGAGGTCTGCCGCCAGGTCCGTGGTGGCGTCTCTGGCGGGGACCAGTGTACCATCGCCGCGCTGCTTCATCGTCGCTTCCTCGTAACCCTCACCCTGTAGTATATAATAATAGTATAAATAGCTTAAGAAGATATAAAAATATATTTTGCAAATATGAAAAGGTTACTGCTTGCTCGTTCTTCTCCACTCGAATCCGTATTTTGGAACGAGCGCCTAGCTTCACTGACGGAGTGACTGACAGACTTGTTTATTTTATATTTGTTGACGTTTCAAAAGTATCAAATTATGGTTTCATTGAAATTAATGCTTTTGAGTTTGAGTTTGAGCTTCATAAATATAACATAAATATACTCATAAAGAATTTAGTAAAACCAACAGACGAAACAGTAACCTCATCGTCAATTTCCAATGTCTATTATAATGACTGCACGGTTGGCGTGTGTCGGGTTCGATTCCCGCACGGAGTAACTCTTTGTAAAATCCACAGATTGTTGTTCCGGGTCTGTGTGTCATGTGTATGTGAACTTGTTGTGTTTGTAACCGCACCAACGACACAGGAGAAAATTCTAGTGTGGGGCATTATTTTTTTTAAATAATAAATAATAGAAAAGATATGCCACCAGAGATACTATGGACCATCAAAATTAGTTTCCTAAAAGTGTCACAGATACACAAACCACATTCCCATTTTAAAAGACAGAGATCTCAATTTCATTACGATCAGCCAGTGACAAACCTTCTCTACACATAAGGAGTTTGCCACCAAAATTTTAATATTAAATGTCTCACAGATGTATAAATACTCACCGCAGCAAAAGTCTTAGCATTATTAGTGTGATGCTGTGCATTCCGGAACACTTGGCTCTCTCTAATCTCGCGAGCTTCGGCTATCATTGTGCTCAGGATACTCGGATGTTTGGCGTTACCTGGAACAATATTAAGATGACAAATATTATTATGTTTTCGACTTACTCTTGCCCAGACTGTCGCGCTGCTACTGGAAGTCTACAGTAGCAGCGCGACAGTCGCTGCGTCGCAGGTCGCAAATGCTGCTTATGAATATGAGCCTCTAGCATGGCTTGAAACTAGTCGAGTTCCTCGTCAAATAATTACGCGACTAAGCCGAAAACATAATAATTTATTTAGTATGTCTCACGAATGTTATAATACAAATACGACAAATATTAATAAATTTTTAAATAAATTTGTCAAAATTGGTCCATCCGTTTAGGAACTACGATGTCACAGATATAAATACAGATTACATAGACATGCAAAATGTGTAACCGTTAAGTTTATCTCGGAATTTCCTTTCATAATAATCAGACATGTAATAATTCTACAAAGAAAACATTATTTAATATTGTTTTATCGTCGCCGATATCAAAAAATGACATCATATTGCACCTACCTATAAACTCGTGTGTTAACAGGTACTCGGCAGTTGCTCGCTCCTCGGGGTTCTTCACTAAACACTGACTTACGAAGTCTATGAACTCTGGGGACCATTGATCTGGCTCTCTGGAAAAATAAACATAGTTTATAACAATGTTGAACTACCAACCACACTACCATAAAATGTTGAAATGATTGCGGGGTTTAAACGTAACGCCCCCGAAAAATATATATTTTCATAAAAATTTATAGAAATAAATGTTTCTTTTATGTAATACTAGTTGTAATGTAATCAACTGATCAAGGCTGATGTTGCATGAATAACGTGAATATACTGAGAAAAGTTCTACTAGTTTCGAACCATAGAGGGGTTCTTCTTCATGAGCAGCGTGCGCGGAGACTAGAGCTTTTCTCAGTATATTCACGTGAGTAACCTGCGATTTTTAGTCAATTTAGTATGTCTCACGATAGTTATTATAAAAAAAATAATAATATTGTAAATATGATTTCTGTTTGTCAGCGTTTAGGGAGCGTTCTGTTCACATCCTATTTAAATCGTTGATCAATATGGACACAATTAAAGAACAATAGGTTGCGGTCACCGGTGACCGCTTGGTGTTTGACAGTTTAATATCATAATAACATTGATAAGTTTTGAAAAGTTAATTCAATAACATTCATACTCGACCCATAATTATATTGAATTCAAAACCTCTTGTTTAGCAGTTGCGCCTGCGAGCGTTCGCTCCCTCAACAAGGAAGTAAATAAAGTCTAATCGCGTGTACAAGAGTTCCGATGTGGCTTGAAACTAGTAGAACATTTTTAGAAGAGTTCACAAGAGAAATGCGTATGTTCAATTAATTTGAAAATAAAATCCTCACCTAAACGACGGAGGTGGTTTAGTAGGTATCATGAAGATAGCTCTCATAGGGTGTATGTCACCGTACGGTGGCTTCCCCTCTGCCATCTCCAGCGCCGTGATACCCAGCGACCAGATATCCGCCACACAGTCGTAGCCAATCTCCTGGATCACTTCGGGAGCCATCCAGAACGGAGTGCCTATTACTGTGTTGCGTTTAGCCATTGTGTCCTGAAATTAATGAATTAACTAAAAATATTTCTAAAAACAAAATCTTTATCTAGGATATTGTAAAGAATTGGGTTTAATTATAGAACGACACCCAAGCGGAGATCGTTACTCAAGTAGAAAGGGATATATGTATCGAGCAATCGCGCTCGTGCTACGGCTTTTTAGCTGGGCACTGGCCTATTTGCACCGTGTACACTGTTGTTTTTTTTAACTAGTTTATTCTTGTTTTTTATGTAATGGTGCAAATAAACTGTTTTTCTTTTTATCTGTTGAATTTTTTTTCCTCGTTCCTTTCTAACTGTACCCACTTGAGAAGAGATCTCGACCTGAGTATCATTCTATACGGATCCTAGTAACTTATCACCAATTCTTTTACTGGAATTCTTGAGAACAGCGACACGGTAGGAACTTTCAAAATCATTCACAAAATATGACCGAGAGAAACTTCTAGAAATAATACAAACACGTCATCTCACCGTCAACTGACCAGCGACGCCAAAATCTGCTAGTTTAGCATGACCCTCTGTATTCAGCAGGATGTTCCCAGCCTTAATATCTCTGTGGATCTTCCGTCTTCTATGCAGGTACTCCAGACCCTTGAGGGTGTCACACAGGATGGTGGCTATCTCGTCTTCTGATAACGTCTTCTTCCGCAGCCTCATGATGTCGGAAACAGAGCCGGCGCCACAGTACTCCATTACGATCTGGAATTATGGATGAATGTGTAGCAGTTGTCAAGGTATCAGTAGTTGTCAGCTGGTCGTGTACAATGTATGTAATTCGAAGTAAATGGTTGGTGAACGATGTTATCGTCAATTTTTTTGGGAAATAGTTAAATACTTATTGCTCTTTGCATTTATAAATAATACCTTAATACATGCACTATACTTCAAGCAGAAATTTGCACTCAAAAGTTTGTACGCATAACTATCTATATATCTACAGACACACATGATACTTAACCATTTGTGCAGAGTTTCAGCTATCACATCAATAACAGCCCGTTACATCCGCTACTGAATGGACTTTTTTGAAGGGGGAAAATCATCGAATGACTGCTCCCGCCTGGGTGAGGCGGGAGGGAGTGTCAGACTCTTACTGACTAAAAACCACCCCGTTCCTTCTACTGCACGTCGAGCCGGAGCCCCGGTTAACCGTTAGGTTCTCCGCGACTCCGAATCGGTACTGAATGGACTACGGTCTCGATTTAATATGTAGTGCCCTACGTGTGTTGATGGTGGCCTCCAGGGTGGTTTTAGTAAGGTATTATGCTGTGCGTGAGGTAAGAATTCCACTCTCTATAGTTTCCTAAAAAGCTGAAATCCTTTAAAAGGCTTCTAGCTTAAACCGTAGTCGTAAAAAACGGATGCGTCATTAAATAGCCAGTTACTGCACATTCCTCATATATTATCTCATATGTGTATATTTGCAAGCTCCTATCTGATAAGTTATCGATCGCACGTTGACCTTGAAGAGTTCCAAGTTCCAATAAAACTGTCCGTCTGTCGCCTGTCTGCCCACCAATTAATAGACACATCTTGATTAATAGTCTGTGTGTCAATTACAAGCTATTCAGGACCACGGAATATAGAATACAATGGAAGTAGCAAGTAGGCGTGGCACGCGTGCCACAGCTAAGCTGTGTACTGCTTACTCGAGGCAAAATTTGAGTTCAGTCTCGTTCGAACATGGCGTCGAGTTGCTAGTCTCGTGTCAAATACATATTTCCTCAACTATGCCGTTTTGTTCCGTTTTGGCGTGTAAAAATGATAGCAGCCGAAAAATCGTAAAAATGGAGGTGTTCCGTATCATCGGTAAGTACAATTTTTATTGTTTTCTTGTAGAAATCTTATTTTATTTCAATTTACAAAAACAGTTATTAAAATAATATTATTTACTAAAACGGTTAGTCAAAATCAACCTTACGCCTTCAAGATAAAGTTTATTTTGGATTTATTCCATTCAATAGAACATTCTCGCCAGTTCTACGCTACTCAAATAGTTATGTAGTCAAATCACATATTGAATTTATCGATTGATATCGATGCAAGTGTAATGTAACATTTATTTAGATTATTTTTTTATTATTATTTTAGTGGTGACCCCGACGTGATTGGAAGCAACCTTCACTTCACGGAGCAGATCAGCACCGTCATCCTTATCGCCATCCCTCTCATTTATCACATTATCCATATAAAGTTTGTAAAAATTTATGTAATAGTTGTTACTTATATTGCCTATGTGAAATAAAAAAAATGATTTTTTGAAAAAAGAAACTAATAAAAAATACGAACAAAATGGTTTTTGATTTACATGTAAATAAATACTTACCCTTTTTTGTTACGTTTAAAAAGTTATCAACGACATATTAATTTTATTATTTTAATACTGTCACACTATAGCAGTCAATATTTTTTTTCATATTATTTTTAAAACACATTTTCATATTATCGATATTATTTTTATCGAATTATCCTACATCACTATCTGAGTAGAGACCCGCATTCGAGCCAGTGATAAGCCATTCAAATATCACCTTTATTCTTACAACGTTAAAGTTCAAACCAAGTACCACTTTTCGTCGCTAGATGGCATTGTTAAACGCCATCTAGCGACGAATGGCGGTACTTGGTAGTCCAAAACATACTTTTTTATTTTGATTTATAGTACATTGGTTTTAAAGTTGCATATCGTATGATATTTTTTTTGCATTTCGTTTACGCCCATTTTTTTTCTAACCAATCGTAATTTCCGATTTATAGTATGAGTAAATTATAAATGTATTAGTTTGGCGACACCGGTTCTGGCAGAAATATTGTTTCAAGCTACTTCCATTGTATTCTATATTCCGTGTTCAGGACACTGGTCTTAGTAAATAGTGGGGTACGGATTAACGAACAATGTGAACATAAAATGCGATGACTTGAAGTGACTAATAAGTGTGTTATAATTTTTCTTAAAAGATTATGTAATGATGGACATTCTTACCCATTCTTCTCTATATGTGCATATACAGAAATCTAAATATGGAGGACATATTTTGGTATCTACTAATAAATCGTAAAGTTATTTACGGTTTAAACGATTAAAGGAGAGGCCGTGAACAGAAACAGACTTAATGATGATAAATAGTGGATTATCTTTGATTTTCAGCTGGATTAGCGAATATAAATTTGATTATAATAAGCCGCGCCCTTCAAGACAAAAATCATACGACATTCAGTTGCATAATATACTTATGTTTATCATAATACCGACACGTGCAAACTTTACTAAAGTTCAAACTGATAAAAGGTGGCATTGGTAGTGTAACTGGTGTATTCCAAAACTACAATTTAATACTGAGGGCTTGGTATGAATTTGGTAAACATTACCGGGTGCGGCGCTCTGATTGGCCTGCACCAACCAATCAGAGCGCGCAAAGCGGTTTCAATGTCGTTAAACGTAAAACAAATTCGCACTAAGCTCCCTAAACACTAATATTGAAAGCTAGTTAAGATTACACATGCATGTATCTAGTTTGCATTGAAGCGAACACAATTAGCTACACTTTGTTATAAATATTTTGTTAAGATTTAATCACGAAGATAGTTTTTCGTTTCTGTTCATGTTGTCGACCAACGCAAACTTCACTGTTAAAATCTATAGCGTTATTTTCTTCAGAAACATTAAATCCTTCTCATTTAAAAACGCAATAGTTATTACTTAACGCAATGCTAGGTACTTAAATTACTTAACGATATGGCGGTAAAGTAGGAATGAGGCAAGGAAATGTCGTCACACGGCCTTTCACCCCAACCGGCCAGTTTATTTCCAATTATAAGCTAGGAAAGTTACGCCTAATAGCTTTGCGTTGCTTAATAAATTTATTTACAACTTGTTTTACTTTGCAGTCAAATAAAAGTATGTGGTATATCGCTTGTATGCGTCAAGATTTATAAACAGCATAACGGCATTATTGGCTTCGGTATGTTTACCTAATTCATAGCTTAAGGTAGTGACCGAATTAGGTAATGATTGGAGGTGCACAATTGCAAATAACTATTAAATGTCAACATTTACTTTTCCTTACTAACTGTCCTGTGCCTTTAGCCTAATGTCACTTTAGCTTGTCTACAAAGAGAGTAGAAATCAAAATGTATGGGGATGACACTGACAAGCGAAAAATCAAAATTTACGTCAATCCCATATAATTTGTTTTTCTATTCTACATGTAAACAAGCGCTAAATGGCATTTGGATACTTTTGCTGATAGGAATGAAATCAGTTGCCAATGGTAAACTCCGCTGACATTTGTGAAAACTACATTGTCTGTGCATGCACAAAATCACGGCCACTTACATAAAAGTACGATTATGAGATGAACGACCGTGTTGTCCACTTACTAAACATATTGTGACCTCTGAATGCCTCACCCATAGGTCTGTGTTCTTGAAGTAACTGCCGTAGTACTTGACCACGTAGGGGCTGTCACACTGCTGCATGATAGAGATCTCTTTGATGATCTCCTGCAGGTCTGTGTCGACTGGGACCTGCTTGATCGCGAGCACCTGCCCGCTTTCTTTGTGTAACGCCTGGAATCAACATGTTTATATGAGTAATCATAACTTTAGCATCTTGAGAGTGTCCGCTCCTGGACTATGGACGGACCTTCTCTACGAAAGAGGGCTATGCCATAATATCTACGTTTGGCGGGCTGGTCGGAGATCGCAGTTTTATAATGTACTAGCTACTTCCGCGCGGTTTCACACGCTGCTCAGCTCCTATTGGTCGTAGCGTGATGTTTTATAGCCTATAGCCTTCCTCGACAAATGCACTATCCAACACAAAAAGAATTATTCAAATCAGACTTGTAGTCACGGAGATTAGCGAGTTCAAACAAACAAACAAAAAAACAAACTTCCGCTTTATATAATAGGATAAGATAAGGTTTAAACCGAGAAAGTACTTAAGCCAGGACCAGAGCTGACTCAATAATTAGTAAGTTTTGTAATGTAACATAAACGTATGTAACTTAACTGCTGGTCTCTTTTACTGCAGATTTAACTAAAAAGAAAATCTATCTAGATAATTAAAAAAGTCTCCTACAAAGAACTACCGGCTGCGCACTCTAATGAATACAATTTTAGGGAGTAACTAAGTGGATTGCGGTGTTTTAAGCTACGCTATCTGGATACTGATCAGGACTAACTCAATGAGATCTTGCAAAGGATCTAAAGACAATTTAATTATAAATTGTTGAATCTTTCCAAGGTCTGAAAGCCTTGAAACTTTCACACTAAGTTTTCGTACTGTTCAAGTATTCATTAACATAAAATATCTAGGTGAAAATGTATTAAAATTTTCGTACACTTCAGTTAAAAAATCGTCTAGACGGACACGAATAAACTTATTTTTCGTGGCTTCTTCATACTGTTGCATTGTACATGAATTTGTAAGGTTTCTACACCACTTGGACATGCTCTCAATATATTCCGCGTAATAGGATCAGCAGAGTGATCTTGCTTGCTATACTAATTATACAAATTACGAGAAACACAGCCAGTTCTTAAGTTCTAATTAACTGTAACTTTAAGAGGAAGGAAACAAGTCTAATTAGCAAAGTTTCGGTAGTTTGATAAAGTTTTATTGGCTACGATGGTGGACTTGGGTACTTCTGTAATTAAATATTACTGTCTTCAAACTTGTTACTATGAAAGATATGTTTTAAGAGTACCCCACCACATCATTTCCTCTATCTGCCCAGCCCTGACACTGCATCAGCAAGTGCAGTATCTATACATGTTCCATCCACTTTTCTAGAAAATTGCTATTTAGAGTTATATGTATGTATTGGTATACATAGTATGCAGGATGTAAACGGAACAAGATTTATTATCATAAAAGTACAGAATTAAATATTTCTTTTATGTAATAATAGTTGTAATCAACTTCTAAAGGATGATTTTGCATGAATGACACGAGCGTTCCGTTTATACCCTGTACATTTTCATTCTCGACTACCTTATTTCTTCTAAGACCTTCGGTGTCTGCTTACCTTATAAACACTGCCATATGAGCCCTCTCCGAGTTTGCATATAATGTCAAAAACCTCCTCCGGTTGCCGCGTCAAGCTCTCCTCGGAGAGCTTCTTCAGCTCACTGTAACAATCATACATGGGATTAAAAAATAAAGTACATACATCTGTATATTATGGCACTTAATGCCACTATACAATGTAACACCCACTTTTAACTAATTTTGTTACAAGTCCCATATAATAGGGGGTGAGCCTTGCCATTATGCCATAGTTTCACAGTAAACCGGCGTGAAACAACGTTTGTTTTGTGTTCAGCCTTGGGAATGAGGTTACCAGAGACCCAAGTCTGATCCGAGCCAATAAAGGCCGGCAATAGGTGTTATTGTGCGACCCCGATTGCTAGCATCGGGTGATCTATCTGCTCGCTTGCTTGCTTATCTCATGAAAAAATCAATCTGAATTTCCCTCTAGGTACAAATCAGTGTTAAGTATCATGTCATAGTTAATTTGCCTTTACCATACTTTGAGGTACCAAATCAAAATATAATAACGCTCTTGTATAACTTAATGTTTAAAACAACATGGACTCTTATATACCTAATTATATGTTTTCTTATAAACTACAATAGCTACACATCTACAATCTAAGAGCAAAGTTCAATAATTATATCGAAGACAGCATCGACAAATTATTGCCTATTACACAGCTCATATCTTTGGTTACTCATTTATCGAGAAATATGGCCGTTCCCAGTAAGACTAAATAAAAATCATACAACAATCGCCCTCTAATGTTAACGAACTTTTATCAAATATGGGTGTGACCCCTCCCACACTACTGATGAAGTGTCCAACTATCCATTCGATCGTTTACAATAACTGAGAAGTTATTTTTCAAAAAATATTATTTAATAGTCAATTTTCACAACATTATTTATGGCTGAAATAACATAAATAAATAGTAGCGTCAAAAAACCAATTTATCAAATGAAGATTTAAGTTTTCGAAGTCAATAATTTATGAGAGATGTTTAACAGACGAATCACAGCGGGGTATAAATTATGTAAAGCGAATTCTGATATTGGAGGACTCATACCTAACCACCGATAGCCTAACTAAATATATGGAAGACATAAGGAGGCAAAATATAATGTAGAACTTTTACCACGACATACAAATTAAACCAAATAAAACGGAATACATAATAATAAGGAAGGAAATAAACTCTAAATAAATAAACTGAAAGCATTACATATACCTATACTATAAATAACCGCGACTCGTATAATTTATACAATTCGCAATTCATAGAAAAAGAGGAACGGAACGGAATATCGCAAAGAAAAATAGCAAACCAATCTAGTGACGGAAATAGCTTGTTTATTTGTTATTCAAAGGTCAACAGACGGTCCAGGCCATTTCGACCACTATTGCAAAACCCAGGACAAGATATTGAGACTCTTTTCCTACAATTGGTGCCTAAGGGATTCTAAGGGTCAGGCAGGATACAACAGTAAGACCCGACAAAATTAATTGAAACGTTACGGTTATGTATTCAAAGATAATGTTGTTGAATTCCATGGACGTTTCCGGGAAACTACTAGGCATGCATAAATAATAAATGGTACATTTATTTAACCATTATATTGAAATCAAAGTTCCCTATTAAAGTATCTGTACCTAACGAGACTGTACAGCGGAAACATTACTGTAAATATTTTTACATGCGAGAATGACATCATGTTTATTGAATTATCCTGCAGCTAAATCTACAACCCTGTAGACAGACAAGACTTAAGATGACTTTGAGAAGTATAAAAAAAATAAACGCTGGTATCTGATAAAATATCCCCGTATATCGACTACGTTTGTGGCGCACGGAGGTAGGTAGAAAGGCCTGTGCGTATCATGTGACATCAGCTGAACGGAATTTATGGAAACCAAATCCTGTGGCCTAACGAGGTGAAACAGAACCAACACTCGGCTAAAAGAGTCACCAGATCGTTTGTTGCTAAGGTATAATGCTTTGGCGAGAACATCGTCACAAAAACCGAACAGACTGTAGTTCTTAAAACTAAAACGGGCCGTGGTATGCGACACATGCTAATTATAATCCATTGTGATGATTTACAACCAATATTTATGTGTCGAGCGCACTGGTGTAGCATGCCGGTTTTATGGTACGACTAAATGTTGCCAACACCTGGACCGTCAGTCTCCGATGTGAATGCGTTCCTGCCCACACAGGCTCATTCACTGGAGCTTCACTTATAATATAACAGTTATTTAAATCCACATGCTGTACAACTCTAAATATTCTGTGTGACTCAATGACTCAATGTACTTTGTACTGGGCTAAATATCCAAGTAACAAACATAGATGAAAGGTAAAAGTACTAGTTTATTTCTGAACTCCGCTAGAAATACTTTGAGAACTTTTAGATGACTGAGATTTCCTAGAATCACACGTGTAAGTGGATTTGTGGATCAGCGTGAAGATAAGTAGTCTAGATTTGAGTCATCCGATTGACCTGTATATAAAATAAAAAAAGCTCGGCGAGTTGATGGCCTGACTAAATGAAATAAGTATCACTACGACACAATTTATCAAAGGAACAATATTAGCAATGAATCTAGGACTTGGTAAGACAATAAACACGGGAAGCGTTCACTACGTAACATGAATAAGTATGCCAAACGTTTACTACGATGAGTAACACGTGATGAGCTATGTCCGCCTACTCCATACATGAACACAATCGAAAGGCTTCCTTACTGATAGCGATAACGTGCAATTAAGCATAAACATTACAATTCACCTACATCACGTCATCACTATTCAAACAAAGATTTTCGCCAGTTTGCCATATAGGTGATCAAACATGATTTAACAAAATTAGTATCCAAATTCAGGGATCACATCTTAAAAGAGAAAAAGGTTAATATATCACATTTATAAGGGTCCAAAGTAGATATTCAAAAACTACGTTTGCAAGATTTTAGTTTAAGAGATTAAGTGGACTTAAAAACACAGAACTGGTTTTGTATAATTTTCTTTGGTACTGAAAACCTGAAGATAGAAAAGAAGAGTCCGTAATTTAGCAATTTTCTTACCAACAATACCGCTACAGGCGAAAATGTCCTACTTTAATCAAGTTGATAGTCAATGCATGCACTCACCTATTTATTATGCTTGCATTAATGCTAATACAAGAATTCTTCAGCGAATTGAGTAATGATTGCAAGGTAAAGTGTTTTATATTGTTGTCAGGGATATATTATGTAACATCTTCAAACTAGTTTTCATTGTTAGATTAGCAGAAGATATCATAGAATTTGCGCCCTCATAGCAATTTTATACAGTAAAGGAGGCATTTTTAAATTCGTCGCATCGTGGTCATCATCATTCGTTTTCACGAGACGAAATCGAGGTCAAGAGCGGGCTCGTTCATTTATAAAAGTCACTCTAACTAAAGCATGGAAATTCCTCGCCCTTGAGCCTTCACCAGAATACTTCCAACAGTCTCGTCGTTTTAATTAACTTTTAGTTTAACTCTTTACGTGCCATCTAATTAAAACTTTTTAAAGAAAAACTACAGAATCATTTAGTTAGCTAGTTTCTATTTGATCCGAAATGGCCTAATTGGTTATATTCTTACATTCAACCAAATCTCTATATCCGAATAATGATGTCATTAGTTGTATATGTAACACGCGATAAGAGTGCACAAGTGATTATAAATGTATTTATTACATGTAAATCATATAAACGACACACCAGTAGTGAGCTGACAGTATGTTTATACAGATGTACAAATACCGACTTTAGATAAACACATTGCTTTGATTGATTACTTCTATTTGGACATACACAAGTACCTACTTGATGAAACTCTATTTGAAAGAATAAACATAGATGTCCTTACTGTAGGTATACTCTTTTCTTGGGCATATTTACTAGTCTCATAATATAAGGGTCGAAAAAGATCCGATAAGGTATCTTAGGACATCAGCTAAATGGCTAAATATCGGACCTTTTGTGAGATTTGGACAACTGATAAAAATATCATTTTGAATAAAAAGTTAGGATGAAAAAGGACAAGGTCAAGTACTGTCAGTTGAGATAAAGTCACTGATTTCCTACTGTTTGACGATTCGAAACAAATTCTATTTAGATAGTTTGAGGCTGATAACGAATATTAGAGGACTCTAGATAACTCATTCGAAATATCAACAGCCATAATAAGCTAGGTGGAAATAAGAGGGAAGATCATAAAAGTATAATTTATTAAAATGATTGACGGTTTGACAGATCCTTATAGGCTCCAAAATCTTAAGAAAAATAACTCTAAGTACGGGTAAGGTAGCAATTAACAATGCTTACTTGAAATCTCACTTCAAGGTCAAATCTTACATGACCTGACAATGTCAAAACAAAGAGAGATAAATCAATGATTAGTCTTTGTTCCATTGTTCTCAATTAACAATATTAAACCAATATAAGAATCAGCACGTCCGCATCGCTCTTTCGATATTAAAAATTGACTGCGGACCGCTGCAAAACTGGTTCCGAAGTCCGGGCCTATTCGCAAGGGCCAGTGATTCATGCAAATAATATTTACCCTTATATGCAACAAAGCGAAAATAAGCACACAATGCTGAGAATTTGTTCGAAATAACGATCTATTTACGTGCAAACACTGTGCAGACTCGGTGTTTCGAGTAATGCACTTTAATTGCCAGGGTAATCTCGCAGATTTGGGTCTTAAGCTCAAAGATTTGTAGGGGATTCAAGTGTGACTAACCTACAAAGTAGTGTAATTTGAAGGACTAAAATAAAACAAAGCATTTGTCTAAAAGTAATACCATTAAAACTAAAACGCCTACATGCTTCTCCAAAGAGAAACTCACTAAATCTTTATGTTTATATCTTCCAAAAGATCAAGTCGTAGTTGTTAATTGGAAAGCTACTTTTAAGTTAGTAAAGTTTATAGAAAATTATTTCTGAAGAGAATATGAGCCGGTGATAAAGAGATAGCCATCATACATGATCCGCTAGTTTGTTTCAATGGATAATGGAAACCAAAGTAGACCTATCCGGAACCCTATATCTTATCATGCTTTGTTTTCATAGACATAACAACATTTGAAATAGGAAGTAGTATTTTTTCCAAGGTATGACGAAGTGCACTTTGTATTAAGTCTGTACACAGACCTCATCACGTCATACAAAGACTTCCGAAAGAATATCCATATTGTTAGAAAAATTTGCAGGTTCAATGTTCAACTTAGTTTACTAAATCTGTACTGGTACTGAGACTGCCACAGTCAGTAGTGAAGGAATGTTATTGTATGCAGGAGTAGAATGTTCACAATGTTTATTTTTGATTCCAATAATAAGCTTGACAGGAGCGCACCGTGCAGACAGTGTGGTGCTGGCGAAATTGTTTTGAACACAATCAATGCAGTATATGTTACATACATTCAGTGTTAACTTAAATAGGTCCCCGAAACAGAAATCTTTTCCTAAACAGGTATTTAGAACTTTTAAGTAACAGCTCGAATTGAACCATCAAGAGACATTTTTTGCGTCGCCAATCATTTTAATATAGGTAATTTGGAGCAGCTCCTAATACATACCCTTGGGGACGTTCCGTATCGTTAGCACTCATTCTGTCGGCGCGTCGTTTCTTACAGGTGTTGCAGCTAAGAGTGGGCGCTCCCCCCTCCCAGACACCGCTCTTCCAAAACACCAGTCTACCCTCACTATCCATAAGGGGTCTGCATTTTTACCATAATCGACTCATTTTGCCCAAAACTTCCTTATTTCATTCTTAGAAGCACCTTTTCTTTCTTTTGTTATTGAATAAACTTCAGAAGTTCATTGAATTATATATGCTAATATCACTGCGGTCACATTTCTTGTCGTTTCTCTTTCAGTAAAAAACACCGACACAAACAAGACCGAAGCTTTGTTTATCGTGTAAACAGTCACCACGTTTCTATCTATAAAATGGGGTTACAGCACATGTGGTGTACAGTGTACACTAGATAGAGTTATCTTTTGAAATTGATCACTGTTTGGACATGAAAAACTTTAGTCCATTAAACTGGAGCTTTCATCGTTTCAGTCGGAGCCAAGTACACTCCGCACTTCCCACAATTTACGTAACCGGACAAGTCTACGGCAATCATCCAAAAGCGATTAACAAGACTTTAGTCCCGAAATAAACACACACGTATCCTTTATGGGCTAAAACCGGCAAGGAAGCGGGCGACAACGCGTCTGTCCTCTGCGACAGCTTTTACGTGACTACTTTTGACGTTCGACAACAACCCGGCGTTCCAAGTTCAACAGATCTTGCACCGAGCGGTCAGACAACACTTTAGGTACAGAAATCTGGATTTTGCAGGAATCCGGGTGGCAATACTACAGTTAGCTGAGGATCAAACGTCTCTGCAAAGAGCCGCTCAAACGTTTCACAAAGGTTAAAAATTCAGGTTACGTACACATTACCCAGTCTTGTTTGTTGAATCCATATCCAACAAACGTTTCATTAGCAGTTTGTTATCATTTAATTTCTCCAAATGACGTATACGATACACGCTTGTGGAATATTTATTTTGAAATAACCCTGTATCCAGGAAGCTTTCATTTCTTTGGGTAGTAAGTTACCACGTTAAATTAGAACATAGCAGAAGATTCTTGGATACCTAAATATGGCTTTCATAACTTTTAAAACAATGATGTCGTGCGTGTCGCGTTTGGTCGTCGGGCCCGAGTCGGCCGGGTGGGCGGCTCTAGATAAATAAAACCGCGTGTTGGTCTGTCTATAAATAATACGCAGATCCTGCTCGTTCCATCGACACTGTGACCTTTTTATTGGTATACAGTTAACGTTGATTAGTCAGAATTACTGTAACGTACTTACTGTTATTATTAGTGTAATTCTCTCATCCGTCTTCCTCCTTTGCTCGCGCATGTTAATAGGATCCCACGTTAGTCTGTTGCTTTGTTAACGCACTGCTTAGGTTTTTACTAAGTTCTCGAACTTTGTTTGACCTGTTGTTATTTATCTGTAATTGCCTGTCTTCCCGACATCTGCTTTTTGACTGCTTTATGTATGCAAAAGCTACGCCAATGGGGTACCTGAATGTTGTCTATGTAGTAAATAAGGAAAAATATAATTATTCCGGATTGAAATATTCAATGTTCACGAGGAGTTTATATTTATTCCAAGATATCACCACGTACTGCTTACGTTTGACACATTTTAGTTTCCGTTTGTGATATTTTTGCGTCCGCAATTCATCGTGCAATGAACTGAGTGAAGACAGACTGAATGTCTACCGATACACAATGTCTGTGGCCATGAGTTTTATTAATTTAATGGCCTTCACAACTATGCGTTGCTTTATTCTAGTTAACGGTAATAAATTGATAGTGTTACATTGCTTTGCAATTTCAAGACAGATAGATGCGTCCTGGAATCTCCGCTAAAACTGAAATGCTTATAAAAAGCACTCACTTTCTCGGTGAAACGAGACAGGTCACTCAAGATCGACGACCCAGAAACTGAACAAATAAAGCCGTTCATAATCCCGCTTTTCGATATACCCCCACGCGATCCGCCAACTATTCGCAGTTCGCACGTGAACCAGTTTTGCAAGAGTACCAGTAACATAAACGTTTTAATGCATTTGATGAATGGTTCGCTGCGCCTGCACTGTTTTCTTTTAGCTGAGCCGAAAATAAATATTGCGATTTTTATTCAAAACAATAACAAATAAATTACCGCTTGATAGCTTTAATATTTATGATCCTTCAAACATTTTTTCAGTACATTTCCTGTTTAACTATGTGTAATTTTTTTGGAACACATTTTTTATTGCCTATACCTTTTTTAATTGTCTCAACTGAACTAACTATTGCAATATTAAAAAACTTTCTTAGTAACGAGTTCAATTCATAAATTTTTGGGGGCTAACAGCTACCGTAAATAACAATGGCCGGTAAACTAGGTTGTGAAGGCACCAATGGTGCTTGAGTCATTGCGTTCGACTTCCCTACCCAATAACAATACATGCACTCATTAATAATGCAGAATACTTATGCGTAATCGGTGAAGTATCGAGCGCCTGCTCAGCGTACATGCAATGACGGATGAAATTATTCCAAATATACTAAGTACTTAGGTCTAAAATTCCCCGACCTACTTGTAAGTGCACAGTCTTTGTAGTTTACTCAATTTCTATACTTGTTATATTAGTAATACTACTAATATTATAATGGTGCAAAGTTTGTTATGTATTATGTATGAACATGCTTATCCCCAGAATTGGGTACTTGCTAATTAGTCAAATTGAATACTTTTTTCGAAATGTCAAAACGACAGCTTCCTATGAATTTTGTACGAGATTGTGTATTGTGTCGTCACGATTTTTTACAGTCCAACAGCGTACTTATTTGTTAAAAAATTTGCTATAAAAACACTAAAATTAATTTAATCATAAAGTCAATTAATTAAGGTGTGATTATTTTTTTAATATTTTACTGTAATGAACAGTCGAAAATTCGAAATAATTAATTTTTGATGAAGGCAAGTACACAATTAGTAACTGGTTCGAATTCTGTTTCTGTCTTGGATATTTCTTTTATTGAGGAATGCTAAAACATCACGCTACGCCCTTTAGAAGCCGAGTAACGGGTGAAACATGTAAATAGCATAATGGGATGATTATGCAAATCAAACTGGTATTTGTCATTGCAATTAAATTACAACCTTATCATGAGGTGAATGGGTTTTAGATAAATATTGAGCATGTAATCAGTTAGATTGACTCATTGAATTCAATTAGAAATGAGCAATTCATAATTTATAACAGATATACATTAAATAACTAAATGATTACTATCTACTACAAATATAATTAGTAGTTACAACATGCAAGACCTATTTTATCATTAGCTGTGTACTTGTGATGAGTGAATCAGGAAACCACAAAATTATTAAATACCAAACACATTTTATAAAAATCAGACTTAAAAAATGTAAAAAAAACAACACAAGGGTTTTCCGCCTACGGACATTAACGACCATGAGCCACACGGTACCTACCTGCTAAAAAAATTATTTTATATTTTCTGATATCATACATATCCTACTATATCACTACCTACTTATACCTAGGTAAGTACCTAATAATACGAATTGATACATTTTGCATACAAATATTCAAAAGTGTCCAGGCTGTTTATTTTCCAATATAATGAACAGGGTGCTTACTCTTGAAACCAATCTCAATGTTAATGCAATTTCAATACAATAAAATCTCAATAATTATTGAATGTCAAAACGATACAACCACAAACATAGCATTTAAAGTACGGGATATAAAGCCAAACTCAATACTATTCAATTCATTCAATATCCACACAATATGGATGCAAAGGGCGCTAGTGTTGCAACTCAAGAGTACGAAATTTCGCAACACCAATATCGATCGATTGGAATTGGATTCAAGAGTAAGCCACCAGATCTGCAAAGCTCACAGCACCGTCAAAAGTGATTATTTTAATTACCAGTCGTTAGTCTGATTTCCAATGGTATTTTTGTTTTAACTTCTTGTGATTCTGCAGCTGTTGTACCTGGTAATTCAAGCTAAGTACTTTTTTATCTGACTGCCTCGTTGATTTAGTGGTCACAAGTGCGACTGTCGGGCAAGGGGTCTCGGGTTTAATTCCGGCAAAGTATTACTGTGTTTTTAAAAAAATTCTCAGTTGTAGCACGGAGTCTGGAATTGTGCCAGGTATATGGCAATACACGATTACATGGGACACATAACATAAATCTAATGAAAAGTGGGTGTTACATTGTACTATGGCATAATATGCACCTCTGCATTTTATTAAAACAGTTAGCAGAAAAAGATTTGTGTGTACCTAATTCAAATACTTTGATGAATATAACAGCACATGTGTATATATGTATTTAAGATCTCAAGAAAACATTAACTCAAAACTAAAAACAAGAATAATATGATTATGAAGCATTTCAAATAAAAAAGTTGATTATTGTTCTGTTCTTGGTTCTGTTATTAAAAGGCGAACATAATGGCATACCTTCTTATTAGACTTTTGACAAATAAAATAAGTGTTGTCTGCGATTTAAAAATAACAAGAACATACCAAAAATGCTGTTCTTTTTTTAAATGTTGACAGAAGTGGGTAAACAAGTTTAGTCAAAGTATAGTTATTACGAATTATATGAAACGAAATTATAATACATAAAAGTATAGACATCTCTTTATTGCTCTAAATGTCTTATTGCAGTAAATAAATAATTTTATTCTTGACACAATATATTTTTTACGAATGATCAAGAGCAATCAACGAAAAATATTGTTACAGCGATAACCACCGCAGCGTTGTAATATACTGATATTGTTGTTGTTAATTCATCAGGTAAATATAAAAATAATAGTATACAGAAAAGCATAGAAGTAATCTTACCTCTTCGACGACATTTCCGTCATTTTTGCTATATCACTTACTGAAATCAACAACTAGATACACAAAAGAAAACGTTCATTATACTTGTATTAGCATTTAACTATATTATTTTGCACATTTTTAACGAATCTGTGAAATATATAACCGATTTCTAAATACTTTTGTAAGGAAATAAATACGCAAGCACTGCACATGCACCGCTTTAATTTTTTTACTGCGACAACCACCCACAGATAAAGTCTTGGTAGCTGTCAATTTCCTACGAACTATTCCATTCTATGCTATACGGCTAATAGTTCACATTACAATTATATATTACAATTTCAAAACGACAAAAGTTTTACCCATTTTATTTTATAGAAAATAATAAATAGTATAAAAAATATTATTTTATTTGTGCAAATTACAAAAAAAGAAATTAAATAATTGTTTTATTCTTAAAATTATTCAAGAACCTGCATGTAATGGGACGACTTTTTTCTATTTCGTTGCTATGGTAATCCTGTTGATAACAAACGCATGGCCAATCAATGGCCGTTTACAAAATTCCTGTGTGTTTAGTATTCTGTCAAACTGTCATGTTGTAATGCAACCGCAAATGTGGGCTATTTATTGATCAAACCTTTATTGTTAATCGTCAGATAAATGTAAGAGTACATTGTGTGTTGTGGGCAAGCTCGAGCGAAATGTTCAAAAACACATTTCAGTCCGGTTTCCTTTCCATTCTTTACAGTATAGGCAGCAAACCTTTGCAAATTTGGGACAAAAAGGTGCGAAATGGGCACATAAAAAGGATCACGGACAACGACATCCAAAGTCTAGTGCTGGAAATAGTTGGTACCAATGTTAGCACGACGTATATTACATGTCCTGCTGATCCTAAAAAGACGCTTGGTATCAAGCTGCCTTTTCTGGTTATGATAATAAAGAATCTGAAGAAGTACTTCACATTCGAAGTTCAGGTAAGCAAACTTTGTTTAACTATGATTGAATATGCCACTTGTGATTTACCAATTAGAAACACAAGCAACTAGTGCGAAAGTTGTAAACACTCTAACCTCAAACTTTTGTTTACAGGTGTTGGACGATAAGAATGTACGGAGAAGATTCAGAGCAAGTAATTACCAGTCCACAACTCGGGTTAAGCCATTCATTTGTACAATGCCCATGCGTCTTGATGAAGGTTGGAATCAAATCCAGTTCAATCTCGCAGACTTTACTCGAAGAGCTTATGGAACAAATTATGTAGAAACTCTCCGAGTACAAATTCACGCAAACTGCCGGATTAGAAGAGTTTACTTCTCTGATAGACTGTACTCAGAAGATGAACTTCCAGCAGAATTTAAACTATTCCTACCAATACAAAATAAGACCAAAAATGCTGTGGCAACTTAAAATTGTTAAGTGTGAAGATACAAACTTGTAATGTCTTTATCTTAGTAAATGTATTTATAAGTTTATTTGTTTTATAATATTTAATTGTACAACTACATCCCCGTTTTTATAATAATATGTTACTCTATTTTATGTTGGCATAAATAAATAATTTAATAAATGCACCCAAAGTTGCATGAAGTTTTTGTCAAAAATTAGGTACAGCTTTTCTAATCATAATGAATCAGTCAATAAAATATGAGGGTAAACATTTAAATATTCAACCTGATCAATAATTGTTGTTCTCTTGTTACTTTAGTTTACTTTGGAAAACTTTTCTGATTGGAAGACAGATAGTTAACCATAATAACATTACTCTTTTTACTTTTTTTTTAGTATTGAATGTATTTTAAATTAAAGGTATGATAAAAATAATATTAGACCTAATAGGCCATGATTAAAGGTAATTACAACTTGGCAAAAAAGAGTTTAGACTAATAATTTATTGAGTTCGGTAGTATCGTGCCTGTTTTCGGTTTTGATATTTGCTATTCCTTACCATCCGCCGATTGCTTACCATCAGGTGATCCGACTGCTCGTTTATCATAAAAAAAATATATAGCTTTATCGCAAGTGTGGAAATGAGAAATAACCGGAACAAGTGAAAGAGATAGTTCATCTAAAAATATTAGTTTTCTTTTAAATTCACAATCTTAAAGTCGTCGCGTCACTAACTAAACGTCAAGTTGGTAGATAAAAAATCAAAATGAACACATCACTATTTATCGAAAAATGGCGTTGACAAGTGTCGGTAGATTATTTTTACCATTAATTTTATTAGAAATATGTGTGAAATGCTACGCAAACGACATTTTAGGATGTGGTGGATTTGTTAAAAGTCATGTTTCTTTAGATTTTTCTAAAATAGAGATTGGACTGTAAGTTAACCTAAAAGTTATTACTAATTTAATTTGTACTTAGACTCTGTACTTACTACAGAATGGTTTGAATTTGTATCAAACTCTGTGTAATAAAAGTATAAAACGCTACCATAAAGTGAAATACTGTATCATTGGGTTTTCATACATAAATTGATTATTACCAGGTACACCAAAGAGGGCAGTTTGAAGGAGAAGACTGAATGTGCTCCTACAAATGGATATTACTTTTTACCTCTTTATGAGAAAGGGGAGTATGTGTTAAAGGTTCACCCTCCAGCTGGGTGGAGTTTTGAGCCGTCTGAAGTGAACTTGTCAGTTGATGGGACCACAGACCGTTGTTCTGCTGGGCAAGACATTAACTTTGCTTTCAATGGTTTTGGTATAACGGGCCGGGTGATCACTGCTGGCCAGAAGCAGGGTCCTAGTGGCATAGCTGTACAGTTGATAAATGATAAAGGTGATGTGCGGAATACTGTGACAACAGTTGGTGGTGACTTTTATTTCACCCCTGTAATACCAGGAAAATATAATGTAAAGGCTTCCCACCCTAAGTAAGTACTAATAATACACTGTTATAGTGTTAGTATAAAACCCATAACTGAAATAATAAAATTAAGTTATCCGAAATACTTGTTGAATAGTAAAGAAATATCAATAAAAAGTTACAATCATTACTATATTAACTATAATTACTTATCTATTTACAGGTGGAAACTAGAACCTAGTCAGGCAGTAGTGCAAGTCAAAGAAGGTAACACTGCATTACCTGTTGGTGTGCTTGCAGTCAAGGGTTATGATGTGTCAGGTTCCGTCACATCATTCGGCAGCCCTATTCGGGGCTTGTATGTGCTTCTGTACTCTAAGGAGGTCAGTTCTACAGTACAGATGAAAGAAAATGATGCCTGAATGCCAGGCAACATAGTAACTATTCTATGTGTTCTAGGAAAGCCCTAAGTTCCGAGTAGAAGGCTGCAACACAGCTCTTCTTCAAGGCGTACCTGATTCTCCGATCTGCCATACCATTACTGATGCTAATGGAGAGTTTAGTTTTGGTCTAGTCCCTGCAGGAGAATATAAACTCCTTGCATTACCTACAGCACCTGGCCAGGTGGCCATCAGCTACAATGTGAAACCTGAATCAGTTCCCTTTACTGTCAGACATGACAGTCTATTTATCAAGAATGCCTTTGAGGTGAGTTTTTATCATAGATAACTTAATTTACTAGTACAGATCTCTTATCTTTTCAGGTTATCTTTAGTAAACAGGCTTCTACATGCTTTTAGACATTAAATATTACTAAGGAATATTATTTCATTTGTTAAGATGGTAAACAAGCAGACAGCTTACCTGATTGTAAGCAATCTACAAATTAAAATGCCAGTGTTTTTTCACATCGGTTTTGTGCTTGCCCGTGGTATCACTCTGGTTAAGCCGGCCCATTAGTGCCGAAGTCATTTAGTACTATAAGTGTGGGAGACACACTTATAGTATATACAGACATGATATTATATTTTTCCAGGTAACAGGTTTCACAGTTGTAGGGAGTGTAGTGAAGTCAGTAGGAGGTCCAGGTCTGTCTGGTGCCCGTGTCTTGTTGGATGGCAAGGCTATCGGTAGCACTGATGGCACTGGCAAGTTTACACTGCCTAACTTGCAGCCATCTACTTATACTTTGACATTTGAACATGGTAAGATTTTCACTTATTTTTTTAAGTATGGCATAATGTTAACTATTTTTTGATACTTAATGTTCCTCTGCGGTGTAATGAAATAAATGATTTGATTTTTATTTAGCAGTTTTACTTAGTAAACTAAATAGATGTTATTTATTTTCAATCTCACAATAATTTAAAAGTCTAGTTATTTATTAGCATAATACCATATAAGTACATCTCTTAAATCATTGGACTAATTGGATGAAACTATAAATTTATCTGCAGAACAATGTGAGTTGGACGAGGTCCAACTAGTAGTGTCTCCGACGGGCCCGGCGGGAGGCCCGCAGGCGCGCGTGTCTCGATGGCGCGTGTGTGGCGCGGTGACGCCGGCCAGCGCGCGGGCCGTGTTGCTGGCGCGGCAGGGGGCCGAGCCCCTGCGGATCCCCTCCGACACTCAGTCAGGCTCCTGGTGCACCTTCCTACCTCCAGGTCTCTACAACGCCAGGGTCGACGTTTCTGATCAGGAGCAAAGGGATGGACTACAGTAAGTTTTCTTACTTGTTAACAATTTTAGATAAATTGTTATAGAATTAGTTTGCTTGTATTTGTAATTATTAATTTAAAAAACAATTTACACTGTAGGATAGAAGACTCTAGTCGTATAATTCTTGTGTTGTTCATTCAGTTTTGATACTATAATAAACCTTAGTTTAAAACTTAATTTAAGGTTTAAAACACGGATTATCATCTAAAACAGGTATTACCCACTGAGCCAGAAGGTATCAGTGGGCAATGGGCCGGTGTCCGGCGTGACGTTCTCTCAGCTGAAAGGCAAGCTGAGCGGGCGCGTCCAGTGCAAGCAGGCCGCGGCCTGCGCAGACATACCTGTCACGCTGCGACCTCTGTCCGCCGACGGCGGCTATGTTGGACAACCCATGACTACTGTTGCTAAAGGTGGACTATCTTTCTTTCAAGGAAACTTACACTAGAGTTGGAAGTAGCCCTAATCCATATTGTATGATTTTGCTGGTTTTACTTGCTGTTCAGCTTCTATTGGTTGTATTGTGTACTAGTTGTATTGGTAAAAAAGTATTTTTAATTCCAATCAGTCGTTCTGGAGATTAGTATGTTCAACTAAACAAACTGTTTAGTTTTATAACATTTTTATACACAAAAATTAAATCAGTTTGTTAATTATTCTTTAAAACAATAACAACATTGTCAATTATAACTTTTCCAGATGGCAAATACACATTTGAGGAAGTCCTCCCTGGCAGTGTGGAGATCTCAGTGGAGAGTGACGTGCTATGCTGGGCCGAGTCCAGGCACAACGTGGCCGTCACACAGGACCATACTAACGTGCCCACGTTTGAACATACTGGATATGTATTGCGGATACATTCTACACATGAAGTTGAGGTATGGAATAAGTTGATAATAGTAAATTATAACATACACACTTTTTGTTCCATCCACAATAAAATCATAAATCAGAATCTCGAAAATAAATTGAACTGCTTCCTTGAGTGCCAAATTCTTACTTTACTTGGCTTCTGAGAATTCTATGATTCTATGATTCATATGATATTGTGAACACAAACATACTTTATGCTTAAAAATGTATAAATAATTAGGACAAATTAAATTATTCTGTCTCACTATTCCTTACAACTTCAATGATTTATTTATTTCAATTATGTTATGCAAATTATGTTCAATTTATGAAAACTAGGAATACAAAGGGAACAATTGAATGAGTAAATAGCCTTCACTAGAGGACTGACCTACAGACTGACATTTTTTCTTATTATTTAATACTAGCTATTACCCGCGGCTTCGCTCGCGTCACAAAAGGATAAAAAGTAGCCTATGTGACATATACCCATACACACAGCGCCATCTATACCAATAATTTCGTTTTCCCTCGAGAATACCAAATTTTTCCGGGATGAAAAGTACCCTATTATTTAATCCAGACTTCTAACTTTACGTCTGCAAAAATTCAAAGCAATCGGTTTAGTAGTTACGGCGTGAAAGCGGAACAAACAAACAAACAAACTCACTTTCCGATTTATAATATTAGTAAGGATTTAAATATTTTGTTTTGACGTTCAAAAGTGCCTTCCTGGTCTAATTGAAATAAATGATTTTGACTTTGAATTTGAGTGAACAACAATGAAGCAATGGCGCAACGACACATATCATGCTCATTAAGTTTGCTGGATTGGATAAGGAAACTATGGGATAATAAATACGTCCTCCTATTTATCCTCTAGTAGCAATAATGATGATTTAATAGTGCCTTTGGAGAGGCTTATGTCCAGCAGTGGACGAAAACAGGCTGTTGATGAATGATGATGAATGAATGAATGAGTAATAATGAGGCACTCCCCCCCCCCAGGTAGAATACAGCGGGCCGACGTCGTCGGGCATGTTCCTGGTGCCGTCGGGCCCCAGCCAGCAGTGCGTGCCGGCGGCGGAGCAGTACGCGCTGACCCCGCGCGGCTGCCACCGCTTCCAGCCCGCGCAGGCGCTGGCCGACACGTCGACACTAGTACCTACCGTGAGTGTGGGGCGTTACATGTTTAGCGGCCTTTATCATGACCAGTATAAGTAGTAACATGCCAAGTCTTTGTGAAGGTCGATGTGCAATTAAAAATTCGCTAGGTAGTATTACGTGGTCAGTGCAGTGCATTTTGTTTTATTTTTCACGTTCATTCATCGTATTATTGGAAACCTTTTTTAACATAATTTCTTAGATTGTATTTACAGATAACATAATATAACATCACGCCTTTTATCGCCGAAGTGGTAGGCAGAGGTGTACATTACGGCACTTAATGCCACTGTACAATGTAACACCCACTTTTCACTATTTATGTTATAAGTCCCATGTAATATGGGGTGAGCCTATTGCCATATACCGGGCACAAATTCGGACTCCTTGCCCGATCCGGGAATCGAACCCAAGACCCTTTGCCCGGCAGTCGCGCTTGCGACTACTCAGCCAACGGGGCAGTTAATATTTACAGATGTACATAATTTTTATTGTACATTTCCTTGATCACGCTTGTGTTCCGTGCAGACGGTGTACCTGGTGGCGACGGCGCACGCAGTGGTGGTGCGCGTGGCGTCGGCCGTGGCCGTGGACGACCTGGTGCTGCGCGTGGTGTCGGACGGCGCGCCGCCGCGCGACGTCGGCCCGCTGGCGGCGCGCCCGCAGCCCGCCGGGGGGTTCATGTATGAACACACTCTGTATATGGCTGACGTGAGTACAATACCACTTTTATTTTAAGTATTATTCAGTAACTTTTTAGAAACAGTATTTTAAATTTCTGTTTTCGGCGGTATTTATTGAAAAAATCTTCATTTTGGAATGAGTTTCACTAAAAACTGACTGAACTATTATTATATTTTTGATATTTTAAAAGTTCATATAATATGTAGTCTATAGGTACTCGGAATTTTAATTCGATTCCAGATTTGACAATTTCAGTGTTGCAACGTTATGACAAGTACTGACATTGCGAAATTATTCAATATGGAAATGGAATATTTCCAGATCGATTTTTCTCGTTTATAATTTTACTCTCGTAAACTAAGTATTTCAGGAAATTAAATATTTCTGAACCGATTATTTAGTTTGACGATTAATTAACGATCTGAGACTTTTCTTTTATGTGTGTGAAATAAATAAAAATATGTAATCATGAAGGAACATGACAAATACAATAGATAGATGTATTATGGTAATAATTTATTTTATAAATTGTCGCCGTCATCGCTATCGCTATCCTGTCACTTTCTGTAACATTTATTATAAAATACACACACTGATTGTTTATCGATTTTTGTGTTCATCACTACAGTATCATATGTGGTATCATTGTTTCACAAAATGACAGTAGCTAATGTCAAATCTGGAATTGAATTAAAATTCTGACTATAGTTGGAATAATTATTTGGATTTTCAATTTTAGCTTTTTTGTAGTGCGTTATTTTAAGGTTTGTATAGCTTATTTTTTCTTTAATTTTAGAAAATTTCTTATAGTAGGATTTTTTCTTGTGTCATGGGTGCGGTTACAAACGCATAACATCTAGACACCAAACAATAATTTGTGGATCACACAAAAAGTTGGTCCGTATGGGAATCGAGTCGAGCATGTTACATTTTACCGGCGAGATCCGGTTGTCCCGTGACCGCGGCACCCGCGCAGTGTAATGATAATGATAGTGTTAAACCGTAGTCCGCGTGTGCAGGGCGAGGTGTCGCTGGTGTCGGCGGTGTCGGCCGGCGTGCTGTGCGGCGCGCCGCAGGCCGTGGCGGGGCGCGCGCGGTGCCAGCCGCACGCGCTGACGCTGCAGGCGCGGCCCGCGCTGTCGCTGCACGGCGCCACCCACCCGCCCGTGGCCGGCGTCACCGTCACGCTCGTGTCTGGTACGGACTTGTTTACATTTTAACTTGTGAACACCAGTGTAGGTGCCATAACATACAATTATTATAAAAACTAGCTGACACGGCAAACTTCGTTCCGCTTAAAATTTTTCTCTTACCTTTTAAACCCTCCCTGGCCTTCCACGAAAATTTCAAAACCAAAATTATCCAAATCAGTTCAGCCGTTCTCGAGTTTTAGCTAGACCAACGAACAATTCTATCAATTACAATTTACAATCTGAGCTCTGTTTAAAATTACCATGATCTCGTATTTCGATAACTCGACATTGTCTTACTTAGTTTTCAATATATAATAATTATTCGATATTTCGAAAAGTAGGTAAAACTTTCCGTCTTACCTATAAATTCTCAAGGAATCGTAAGATTAAAGGAACAGAAAATATATATTGTTCACGTATTTATAACACAAATTCTACATCATCATACTAGACTATTCACGTCAAATTACCCAACACCACAAAATCTAACAAGAGACAATTTATATTACCAACCAATTTCTTACGTTTCAGACGACCTAAAACTAACCCACGTGACTTCAGAAGACGGCAAGTACCACTTCGGTCCATTGGACGCTGCCAAAAAGTATAAGATTACGGCTGAAAAAGATTCGTATGTGTTCAGTGAACCTGATGAGAATGGTAACATTGTCGCTCAGAAGTTGGCTGAAATAACGGTGGAGTTATTGGATGATGCCGATGGGACGCCACTGCAGGTAAGATAAACTTAAAAACAGAATTTTAAAGTAACAAAGCTCTACTAGTTTCGAACCACAGAGGGGTTCTTCCTCATGAGCAGCGTGCGCGGTCGCGGCGACGTCGCGCAGCTCACTTTATTCTCACGTTACTCACAGCATCACGTGAGTAACCCGAGATTTTACTTAATTTAGTATGTCTCACGATAGTTATTATAAAAACATAAAATTTACATGTAATAAGACAGTGAACCTTTCACATGAAGCCCAAGTAAAATTCCATTATCCAAGTAAAGAGATATTTTCTACAATTTTTTATTATGTTGGTAGTAGTTTTTCTAGCCCGTTTCAATCTGGGTTCAAAATGACGGTGAACAAATGTGACAATTTATGAAATTTGGTGTTTGACAGTTTGATGTATACAAAAGATTTCACTTGAGGAAGCTCTAATTATCGGTGAATCCCTATTATTGTCTAGCAGTAAGAGAGAAATGGGCTGTTAATTATAAATATAACGGTATTCTACTGATGTAGTAGGTAAAAGTACTATTTGTTATGTTACAGGGTGCGTTAGTGTCGGTGAGTGGAGGCTCGTACCGCCGCAACGTGGGCAGTGGAGCTGACGGCCGGCTGAGGTTCTCGTCGCTGTGGCCGGCGCAGTACTACGTGAAGCCAAACATGAAGGAGTACCGGTTCCAACCGCCACACCATATCATCACGCTCGCACAGGGACAGGCTCATCACATCACGCTCAGGTGATCAATTAATTTATACTACAGGTTTACATGTTATTGTAATACATTTCTCTGAGGTATATGTTGCCATACTTCAGAGGAATTCTCGTAACTTCTCTGGTGTTCATGGGCGACACTAACAGCTTACCAATTTGATCGTTCAATCCAATTATTCCATATTATCTTAAATCGCAATTGGGTACTTTCCCTAATCAAAAATAAGTTATTTCGACTGTTCAACACAATAAAATATTAAAAAATAATCACACTTTCATGGATTAATTTTATGACCAACTTAACTTTAGTATTTTTCCGGCATATTTATAAAAAATAAGTACGCTGTTTGACACTAAAAAAACGTGACGTCACAATCCACAATCTCGTACAAAATTCATAGAACACTGTCGTTTTTGACAGTTCGAAAAAAGTATTGAATTTGACTAGTTAACAAATACCCAATCTATATGTTATAGGTACCATTTAATATACTACTCTGTGACAAAAGATGTTACCTAACATTGTTTTCTATCGTTTCATATATCATCACAGAGGCGTCCGCGTAGCATGGTCGTGCGTTGGTGCTTTGGTATCGCTGGGCGGCGCGGGATGGCCGGGCGCGACTCTGCTAGCTGTACCCAAGGACTCTCCACCACACTGCGCCACTGAGGAAGCCACTACTGAAGCTAGTGGAGCGTTCAGGTTAGTCATCCCCTAACTCTATTAAAAATGTTTACATAACATACATAACATCACGCCTCTTATCCCCGAAGGGGTAGGCAGAGGTGCACATGCCACTATACAATGTAACACCCACTTTTCACTATTTATGTTATGAGTCCCATGTAATAGGGGGTGAGCCTATTGCCATATACCGGGCACAATTCCAGACTCAGTGCTACTACTGAGAATTTGTTTTTTTTAAAACACAATAATACTTTGCCCGATCCGGGAATCGAACCCGAGACCCCTTGCCCGGTAGTCGCACTTGCGACCACACAAGGTAGTATAATATAATATAGTATAATGTATGTATGTTTATAACGATATTTTTTGTCATTAGGATCCGAGGTCTGCTACCAAATTGCGTTTACAATATCCAGCTGAAGGAATCAACTGCTCCAGAGCTGTTAGGACTTAAATTGGCTAAGGCTCCTCCAGTATTAGAGGTAAGATCATTCCGACCCTTAATATTATGATTGATATTTAATTAAAATTCATAAGTTCCGATATAATATTTTATGACTGACTCAGTCAACCTCTTCGTCGTAACATAACATCATAACATCATCACGCCTTTTATTCCCGAAGGAATAGGCAGAGGTGCACATTACGGCACTTAATACCACTATATAATGTAACACCCACTTTTCACTATTTATGTCATGAGTCCCATGAAACAGGGGGTGAGCCTATTGCCATATACCGGGCACATGTCCAGTCTCCGTGCTACTACTGAGATTTTTAAAAACCCAGTAATACTTTGCCCGACCCGGGGATTGAACCCGAGACCCCTTGCCCGGCACTCGCAATTGCGACCACTCGGCCAGCGAGGCAGTCAACCTCTTCGTCACTGATCTAGTAATAATTTATTACAGGTGAAAGACAATAAGGACATAGAAAACGTGCGCCTAATAGGTATCCAGCCTCGACAAGTCACAGACGGCAGCGTGATGGTATATACAAGCAATCCCGCGCACTACCGCGCCCTGCGACTTTACCTGACAGCGGACAGTTCACAAGCTGCATTGTACTCTGCTCGCCTCGAACCAGGCCCTGGACCTCATAACCCAGGCCTTATGCACGTCTTGCCTCGTCTACCTGCAGATAACCTCACTTATGTACTGAGACTACAGTGCTCGCTCTCCAAGGCTACTCATTCCTATGAAGAACCTGTATACTACTTCGTCTCGGATGGCCAGTACAAACACTTCACTATCGAATTTGAGCCTAAGGTAAATTAAATGATTTTTATTACTTCATACATACATCTGGAAGTCACTGGGACCTATGTTCAGCAGTGGATGTCTTTTATCTTATATCTTATCTTATACTATTACATAAAGTGGAAGAGTTTATTTTTTTGTTTGTTTGAACGCGCTCATCTCCGTAACTACAAGTCTGATTTGAATAATTCTTTTTGTGTTGGATAGTGCATTTATCGAGGATGGATATAGGCTGTAAAACATCACGCTACGACCAAAAGGAGCTGAGCAGAGCGTGTGTAACCGCGCGGAAATAGCTAGTTTGATATAAAGATGACGATGATACATAAACTTATAAATCGTCACGCTTGTCTCCCATAGAGGTAGTCAGAGAATGCCACGTGATACTTTCTAGAATACTTCTTTGGCTTCATCTATTCGATTTCTGCATTGTGTTAAAGTCACATTTGTCTGTTCACATGTCTTATCGATGCTTCATGCGATTTAAAAAAAATCTGTACATTGAATCAGAAAAATTACAATAGGTATTTACTTTGCAGGTGAAGTCTAGCGAGCAGGAAGTGCGACAGACGTCCCTATTAGTGTTACCGCTGCTGGTATTGTTGGGACTGGCGTGGCGGTACCGCGACCGTCTGCTGGAGTCACTGGCGGCCGCCGTGGCGAGGGCAGCGCGCCCCACGCGGGCCCCGCGCCCGGAACGGGGCCCCGACACACTGGACCGCGCCAGCATCGACCAGATCGTCTCAGCACTGAACCCACCACCAAAAAAACCCAAGAAGAAACAACTCTAGGGTTTATCATTAACAGAACAGTGTCAAAACTGTGAGAAATAATAATAATTAAATAAGTAATTTTTACGCCAATGCAAAGAATTAATGAAGTGATTTTTTAATCCCAATTTTATTTTCAAATGTGATGACGACGGTAAAGTACGTAGGTTAAATACCGTGAAGTTACAACCAATGCAAATAATTGTCAAAGTGAGTATTTAGTTCCCATTTTATTGAAACACGTGAGCTATCAATAAATATCCATTTTAAAAATAAGATCGCGTGCTAATCCCCTCAAATTACATTTACAAATATAAGGACTGTGTTGTAGCAATAATATATAAGAACTTCACACACGTTTACAATCGAACAAATATGTTAAGTAAAGAATATATCAAATTGAATAAGTTTTAAATCAAATATTAATAATGCGTTATGTTCACCGAAAATGGTACTGTCATGATGATCCGAATTATAAAAAACGACTTATGAAAACTCATGCACGATGCCTTATTAACTGCTACATCCTTCTCAAATTGTCATAAGACTGCATTTCGTGTGGCAACATGTACCTTTTATTTGATTCTGTTCTAATAAATCACTTAATATTTATCTAAGAGTTGGATCTCCTGTTCTTACCTAAATTCTATAATTGTGAACCTCAGTATTTAATTGTGCTCTTAGATATATTATTATTGATTTATTGAAACGGACCCAATATTTTTAAGTATGTTTTATTAGCTTTTACCCGCGTTTTTCCCAACTATATCATTATGTATGCGAAAAAAGTAAGAAGATATCAAACAATACAGACTACATATTTGTTATTATTCTTGAGAATTTTTGCAAAGGCGGAAGTCCCGTAACGCCGGGCGGGACCTAACGCCGGACACTTGTATTATCTCGATAACTGATAACACGAGCGATGCAATTTTTACTAAAATCTTAGGTGTTTGCCACTGGGAGACTTAACCCTAAAAATTTAATCACTCGCGTTATTAGTTATCGAGATAATACAAGTGTCCGGCGTTATGAGCCGTCCGGCGTTAAGGGACTTCCTCCTACGACTGAGCCATTTAAGTCCAGTGAGCACCTTTGGTCATTAGTATTGCAGATGTCCATGAGCGGTGCGAATTGCTTACCATCAGGTGATCAGTCTGTTCGTCGTTCCACAAAAAGTACGGAGTAAAATGTCGATGCGGTTTTATATTCCAATTAATTCATATCATTTGATCAGTAACATTATTTAATAATTTATCTTTGGTTAAGGTGCAGTGAATGAATAAGTATAATTTATATTTTGTTGTGCATTGTTTAAAATAAATGCATTTATGTGATGTATGTTCTGTTGGTCGGGATAAATAAAAGGATTGTTTGTTTCGAAGAGTGTTTTAATTTCATTGGCATATTGCATATGTTTGGTCTTTATATATATACATAATAGCGGTTACTTAAAGTTTTAAACCATTGAATTCAGTTTAATGCGTTGCTATTTTGAATTAAAGTACTTTAAAGCATTACTGGTATTGCATTACCGGTGATTTATTCATAACAATCCCCAAATCGCTCATTACAGTCGGCGATGGATCTTGATTGATGGTCCCATAGCTTGGCATTCTCTTTGCTGTAACAAATAAGTAAAAAGAATGAGTGAATTGACTGGAGTTTGGTGTACCTCACTTAATATTGAATAAGCATAAACTATTTGCATTTTTCAGCTACTGTTAATTTAAAATTCTTAAGTTACATTTCCTATAGTTACCTGATCGTAGGTTGAGGTCTAATAATCATGTCTTTACATGTTACGTCACCATTTCGAGTTAACTTTCCATAAATATGTGTTGCTATAGTTTATAACTTTTCGTAATAAAATGCAACTTACTTGACGAAGTATAGTTGGAAGGCAGCAAAGAAGTTCCTTTGTGATCTCGCGTGTAGTTTACATAGCGCTAGTTTTTCACACTCGTCCGCTCTGTAACAATGATATAAATATAGTATATAGTAAGTAAATGCCGACTGATGACTTCTAAACAAGAATTACTATCTGTTCTTGGTATGTATCTTAGAAAAAGTCTTATAAAAATGAGCTAGCAACAATTAGTAGCCCAAACGCTGACTTAGATATAGTTTCTTTGTCTAAAGATCAAATCCAAATAGCGGTCAGTTTTGCATTTGGTTTCAACTTGTAATTCAAAAGTAGTAAGATTGTACTTACTGTCTCTTAGTCCTCATCTTTGTGACAGAACTGTCTCCGTTGCCTCCCAGCGCAAACATGGGGTTCACGAACCTCCGACTCACATGATGTTGCACCGCGTTTGAGTCATCATCTGCAACAAAAATACAATGAGATTCAGTTTTATGTAAATTCAATATTTTAAGAATTAGGAACATAGTGTGATGCTCCCTGAGTTAGGAAACGGGGGGAATCCTCCGACCAGGCCAGGTGGTTATACCTGGCGACTACCTTTTTAGATAGGCAACACTACGCCATGATCTCTAAAATATTGTTAAAAAAAAATACCAGTCTTTTCTTGTAAATCCAAGGGCTGGCACAAAACCGTACAGAATAGAGCCACAAACACAATTAAAGCGATCTTCAGCATTTTGACCACAATTGACCAATGGTCTTTAAGCTGCGTTTACCAAATTCTGACTGATGCATTTTCGGTGCTCCCGACCCCTATATATTGTGAGCATCGACCGCCATTGACGCGTATCGCAACTATAATGGGAATTATAAATAATACCGGCTTAATGCGGTGTTAAGTAGCTGAAACTATTTGCTTAAACAAATCGTGAAGGGTTCTGTTCTATGCGGATTACAGAAAAACTGTAGAAGAGGTCACGTTTGTATAGATGTGTGTTCTTTGTTTTGTAGTGTGACGATGTAAAGCGTCTTCGTGAAGCAAGGGTCAGCAATTCTTGAACATTTTACAGTAGAGGTGCTTACTATAGTTATAGTTACCATTCTCCTATCTATCTATCTACGTTTTGTTATAATTAATTCCTTATTTCTTTTCCTTTGCATTTTTACGGTAACAAGCAGAGTTGTATCAGTATGATTTGATATTTATTTTATACGCAGTAGGTAGAGTAGGTGTCGCAGTAATTTAGTACCACTAGAGTTGTGTTTAATAGTTTTGGTATGTTTCTGCTTGTGACAAAATTGGTACAAGCTCTTTAGGTGTATGTAGAACAAGCCAACAGATGAACTATGAAAGGATGAAATTTTCTGCTTATAACTGATGGGACAGATCATTTTCGGTTTGATGTCCACGTATGTAGTGAGAAGTGATTCAATTGATTCGCCTAAGTTCGTAAATCAAGAACATCGTATATCTAATGTTATTAACTTGCGACTTGTTGCCAAAAATGTACTTATAGGTATGCTCGGCAAAGCTAAATTGTAGCTTAACAGTATTAGGAAGTATCATTATAGATTTTAATAGCTGTATATAATTAGCCTACCTACATAGCTAGGTAGAAATAGTGTTCACAGAACGTTACAACACGATACTATTTATTAGGCGAGACCACAGAAATATTTCTATGGGTGAGACTATTCTGGTAAACCAGGGGGTACCTAATGCAATTGATACCATCTAATACATAGCTAGCTAGCTGCATGTATAGATGCATACGGAACCCGCATTTCATAGAACCGCTACTTATAATCTTAATTTAATAATAACTAGAGACTCACGAGGTGGCATGTAACATGTGCTTGTAACATTATCTTTTTGTGCACTTCGGAGTCTGGAACTGTACTCAGTGTATGGTACTTCCTAAGTTCCTATTAAATTAAATAATAAATTAAATAGAAAGGCCTTTTGAACTTCAAACTAAAAAATGTCTGAGTGTCGGGTCGCTCTTTTCATGAAACTGTTTTCTCGTCCTCTCGTCCTCGTCTCCTATGCATTTTTGAGTTCTCAATTATTACATCAAATAGCTTCTAAGTACATGTATGTCTAACTCTTCATGGATTAATAGATAAATTAATATTGCATAACTTCACCGCATCCAATCTCCGAGATGGAGCCAGAGGTGTACTACCTGCCTATATACCACCATACATATTTCATCTCTTAATGTTAAGGGTCTATTGAAATAAGGATGCCATCATTTCTTTTTTTATGCGGGTTTAAGCCGGTAAACGAGCCGACGACGGATCACTTGATGATAAGCGATCGGCGTCGCCCATGGACAACTGGAACACCAGAGGCGTTACAAGTGCGTTACCGGCCTTTTTAAATTAGGAATTTGAGGATTGTTGACTTGTTTCACGTCGGCCTTTTGTGAGGTCGTGGTATCACTCCGGTCGAGCCGGGCCATTCGTGCCGAAGCATGGCTCTCTCATACTTATACTTCGAAGTTTCCTCCCAAAAAATCAGAAAGCATTTCTACATAGAAATATCTAGGTGCCAAATAGCTCTAATTTTTGGTAATATAACAAATAGATTTAGCTTGACGTCAATTCTTTCAGCTCCATTAGTTTGTTGAGTGATGTTTGTAGAAGCAATCAGCATCTTGTTATAGCGTGTGTGCTTGAGGTAAACTGAACAAATTACTTGTAATAACAGAGCTGTTTCCTCAGTCAGTGCAGTTCAACTAGGAAATAAGTTCATTCTACTGCTGAAATAGTTAGGTTCACGTTCATTTTTGTTCATACCTCTTACAAATATGGCTTTGTTGTTTCTTTTGTGCTCTAAAACTGAAAGGGTTTTTATAAATCCTTACTAATATTATAAATCGGAAAGTGAGTTTGTTTCTCTGTTTGTTTGTTCCGCTTTTACGCCGTAAGTACTAAATCGATTGCTTTGAATTTTTGCAGGCGTAAAGTTAGAAGTCCGGATTAAATAATAGGATACTTTTTATCCCGGGAAAATGTGATATTCTCAAGAGAAAACAAAAGTATTGGTATATATATTCATATGCATGTAGTAAAAAGCGGTTGTTTTAATATTACAAACAGATACTCTAATTTTATTTATCTGTATTATTATGTATTTTTGGCTTACTCACGGAATAATTTCACGAGGAACTCGACTTGTTTCAAACCATCCTAGGGGCTCATATTGGTCATATTACTGTTTTTATAAGTTATCGATTACTTACTTAGTACTAAAATGGTTTGCCCTAATCTCCATAATTATCAAGCGGGTTTGAGGTCCTAATTTAGAAGGTTCCAGTCTACATTGAGAACGTTCTAGAGAGCGTTGCTCGGGTCTCTGCTAAATGTTCCTTACTCAGTGTTTTGCGGTATTAGGGCAATCCTGATTTAGGTATCCACATCCTTTACAGAAAATCCCATTCCAAGATATTTCCTTTTTTAAATTAAGGCCCTGTTTGATCCCTCTCGTATAATTATCTACCCGAATATAGAAGATAGTGGCTATCCGGAGTATGCGAAACGGACCCTTCTGTAGGTACTGTACTAGTAAGTCAGCTAAAATAACATACTTAATTATAAAAATAGGATAGAACATTACGAACATTTAGAAGAATTGTATAGGAGCAATTAGAAAAAGTGTAGATAATCTGTTGTCAAGATTTCATCATCTTAGATTGTAGATTGCACAACGATTTGCGATGATTACACCTATTTATGTTCAATTTGTTAGTTGAATGCTCTGTCAATTTTATACACATAAATACATAATAGTCTGTCGTTCTATTATTGATCGTCTATTTTTGTATCAAATGCATCTATAATATACACATAATAGTTACCTATTGCTATTTGTTTGTCCACAGAGAATGTTGTTCGGTGTCCTGAACTTTCTAGTTAAAATTAGTATCTCTACTTGATACTAGATGGCGCTACAGTTGATATGTTGGAATTTGCTCGTAGTGACATCTGTTGACCAATAGAGTTAGGTCAATCCTTATTGTTTATAAAATGTTTTGTATTTTGTATTACAGAATGAAATGCTAGTTTAGATACCAAAATTCATAAGTAATGAATGAAATATAGAGAAAACGGCGAAATTAATTGTGCGCCGGTCAAATTACTCATGGAATCAAACCGTCTAAAAAAAGTATCTTAGTAGTTCAACTACTAACCGGTAGATGTCACTACAAGACTTATCTGAGAAGTTACTCGAATTTTCTATTCGGTTCGTGATTGTTCATGCGGCTTCTCGTAAACAGATAGCGCTGTAAGCAAGCGTATATAAAGCCGGCAGCGCGGGAACTCTGCAGTATTCAAAGTTTGACAGCGACAGAAACGGTATCAACACAAACGAAATAAACAAAACGATCAAAATGTCACTCGCGCCGTATTGGTTTCGTCATCTGAGGAATCTGGCGACTCGAGATCCAATCGCCAGGGCTTTCGAAGATCCTTTCTCCGTGTTTATGAGGGACCCGTTCTTCAGAGATCCAGTGAAATTCATCAAGGCAGCTACCGCACCTCTCGATCATGTTGAGGGCGTCTACTCTGACCACGAGCTGAAGATTGACGGGAAGAAGGTGGAAGTGCACCTGGATGTTCAGAATTTCACTCCGGACCAGATTCAAGTGAAGACTGTGGGGAACGAGATTACGGTGGAAGGCAAGAAGGAGATTAAGAAGGAAGATGGTTGGACAAGGAGTCATTTTGAAAGGAGATTTTTGTTGCCTGATGGATTCCCCCCGGAGCGTGTAGAATGTCATCTTGACAAGGGAAAGTTGAAGCTGATAGCGTTCAGGGCAGAACCGTTGGAGGAGCGATCCATTCCCATCCAGGACAAGTCTAGTGGCAGCAGCGAGAATAAATCGTAGATATCTAGGCAGTGGAATTAAAATATTCTTTTAACTTTTTTAGTTAAAATCTTTCATAGACTGATTAGTTTAGTTGTACAAACGGTACCTATCAATCTGTTTCGATACTGTGATTTACTTTTTTAAATTGATTTAAATGAAATAAATGCTTAAATCTACATTGTTGTTTTATTTCTAATTTACGTAAGATATCTTTACACCTCTTTGTAATCCCCGAAAGGGTAAGCAGAGCGACAGGTGCACAATTAGAATCACTCTTCGATTTTTATGTTATGTTTGTTTACATTTACAATCAGGAAAAAAAACATGATGACCAGATGAAAAATATTATGAAATAGGCTCATCGGTATTAGACATAGATAAATATTAACATAATTCATATTTATGTAGGATTCAATAGTATCTCTCAAATCTCTCATTGTGAAAGATTTTTTCCGTGTCGGGATCGAACCCCTTGTTCGTTAAGCAGCAGCCGTGCGTTGTAGAGTAACCTATGGAGTTTTTTGCTCGATCTTCTCCATGGGAATCTGCACCTTGGAATGAGCAAATAGCTTCACTTTTAAAAATTTTTTGACGTTCAAAAGTGCCTTTCTGGTATAATTGAAATAAATGATTTTGACTTTGACCTTAACTTCTGTGCCAATCGTAAATTAAGTTAGCCAGAAAATAAATAGGTAATCAAACTGCATAGTTTTGTTGTTGTCTGACCTTGTGTAGCACGAACATTACAATTCAATGACATAGGTATTATATTGTTCATGTCTGACCTATGTCACCTACCGACTATGGTTACAACTTCGGCACACCCACAGATATATTAAAGAAGCACCATTTTCTGACGACATCTAAAAATGAATGATGATTGTTTGATTGTACTTGTATGAACGTTATCCTACAAATATTGTTTGATTAATTCTAATTCAAATCTTTCACACAATAGGTACTATTATATCTGGTGGTTCTGACTGGTAGTTTGTTAGACTGAGGAGAATGCCAAAGGATATTAATCTACACAGGATAGATATGAACTTTAATAAATTATTATGTACTCTTTTCCTTGATAAGAGGTCGCAATTCGCATGACGACAACAGCGGCGAGGATAACGCATGCATGCCGAATTTAGGCACAAAGCCGCCCTAAATGTTGTTCTTTACGACCTAACCCCTTAAATCAGAACGCAGTCCTGCGGCGCGCGCCGGTCATAAGTACCCGCGTCATAGGCCGGGCAATGCCCTGGCAAGTCAATAATGACACTAATTGTGCCTACACCGCAGTGTGCAGTTCCAAGTGCATAAGTCTTAGTTTAAAAATAGCCTTCAGTGATTGATGCTATAGAATTAGATTTGAAACTGATAACGTTTTTCTCCATCACTTGGTGTATATCAGAGGAATATTATGTCTGCAAGACATATCGTACATAATATGTATAGGATCATATCAACATAATGTTTAAAAACTAGTGTAATTGTAGATACAGACTTCAGACGCTGGCAGTAACAAGTCTGGCGTTTGACACGCCGGTCGTGCGCGCTGCGCCTCACCCATTTATACTCGTGGTATAATTATTATTAACTCTCTCGTTTATTTATATTTATACTACCTCGTTTGCATTCGTGTATAAACAGTCTAAACACGGCTAAACACTAGCTCTAACTGCGTAGTCATAATTGTAATATATAAATTTAAATTAAATAAAAAAAGTAATAAACATCTACAAGTGACCTTGTGTGTGCAACGTGTTGATTGAATTAGGTAATCTGTGTACAATTGATATTGTTTGTGTGTGGTTGTTAGTAAACAATGGCTGCCTCAACTGCAAAGTATGCTCTGGCTGCTGGAACAGCTGAAGGTTAGTACCTATGAATGAGATGGTTCTAGTTATCTATTTAACATAACATCACGCCTTTTATCCTTGACGGGATAGGCAGTCGTGCACATTATACCACTGTACAATTTAACACCCACTTTTCACTATTTATGTTATGAGTCCCATGTAATAGGGGGTTGAAGGGGTTGAGCCTATTTCCATATAATTGCACAATTCCAGATTCCGTGCTGCTACTGAGAATTTTTATTAAAATTCAGTAATACCTTGCCCGAGCCGGGAATTGAACCCGAGACCCCTTGCCCGGCAGTCGCACTTGCGACCACTCGGTCAACGAGGCAGTCGTTATCTATTTATGTAGGTACATATACATATAGTCTACGACTGTGCCTTTCTCAACGAATTCGTTGTTCATCATCATTATCATCAACAGCCTATAAACGCTCACTGCTGAGCAAAGCTTCTTCTCACACGGAGGTTTAAGCATTAACCACGCTTGCTCATTGCGGGTTGGTGATTTCAAACTTATAATTAGAAATTGGAAGCTCAGGTTTCCTCACGATGTTTTTCTTCACTGTATGTCAGTGGTGTCTAAATAATCTTTGAAAGTACATAAGTACTTATAACTCGGAAAAAGTCACATTGGTACTTGCCGTTGATAGGTTTCGAACCCGCACCCTTATGCATGAGAAGCGCGTCTTAATCTTTCGGGTCACCATGACATGACATGACATAGTTAGATAATTTTTCCTGTCTAGTAGCAGCTGTAGCCAAATCCCATTTAACGCTTGTCTACATGTAGAATAGAAAACCAAATTATATGGAATGAACGTAAATTTTGACACTTATTAGTGTCATCCCCATACATTTTGATTTCTACTCTCTCTGTAGACAAGCGCTAAAGTGGCATTAGCTACAGCTGCTGGTAAAAAAGCAAAGATTATTTATATGACAAACAATATTTCTTATGTTTTAAGAGCAGTCTCATATGATGACGTGTTGTAGACAACAACAACATATAAACAAACTATAATCACACATACATCTACATCTGTCCATTGTCCATCATTTTCACAATAGAATAGAAGTATTTTTTCATTTGTTTGATTAGTACCTAATTTTAACTATACTTACGCATCGATAGCCCGTATACTAAGTCCGTTGCTGGACGATGATTCTCCACTACATAAGAGTGTTTGTCATTGTCTTCACAGGCAGTTTAGATATCAGATTAAACGGTTATTTTTATATTTGATGGGCCGACATTTGACTAGAATTCTCTTCACGAAACTGACGTAGACCATGCGGTCTACGTTCTCTGACAAAAAGTATAGTAAATCTGTGCCTATTCTACATCCATTACAACAAATTTTATTCACGCAAAAAGAAAGAATAATGCCGGAATACTGAAACGTTACTCAATTTAAGTCGTGCTTAAATATCGTGCCATCTCTGTCATTCCACAAAGAATTTGTAGTGACAGAACTATGCTTAAGCGCGACTTAAAATTGAGTAGCGTTTAAGTAGTCCGACATAAGACTACAATAAATAATGACCAGCTCTAATGTCATAGTTCCAGCTATGGACCGGCTCGTTCACCTAGGAACAGTCTCTATTGACCAGCGAGGGTCTGGCTTCAAAGGCAACAAGTACACAGTGCACAGCGACGGAGAGCTATTATTCAACTTAAAGGAAGATGGTCATGCCTTCACCTTCCTCAACCATGGGAAGACGAGAGGGTTCCACATGGATGGTGTGGATAATAATGGCAAACATGTGAGTATGTTAAGTATCTAAGTCGGTATTTATCTATCGGGACAAACCCGCAATATAACATTTCCCAACTCCTGTAACCATAGTATTTAATGTAGGGAACTAGAGATCAATTCAATGCAAATCGAAATATATTGAATTCTGCAATGAAATTGTTTAGTTCGAAGATCAATTTGAAGTGGAAAATAATTGTAGAGAACCACTAGGAAAGATTGTAGACCGCCCACACTGCCTATGTCATCCGCCGTCTTGCATTATGGTGCCTCGCGAAATAGACCTCGACATCATTAAATTTTGTTTGCGCTGTCTTCGAGATTTCTTATCGACTATTACTAGAGAAGAGGAAAAAAAGAAGAATAACCACGAGGAGTAGGAATCTACTTTTCTAAACAAAAGCTTCACTAAACATCGACAGAGATATCTTTTAATTTGTTTGACATTCAAAAGTTCTAGCTGAAATTAATGATTATGACTGGAGTTGTGTATGCTACAAAATTATTCGCGAAAGGCAAATTAATTAAGCCAAACACTCGAACGAATTCCAGACAAACACTAGACGTCATCAGATATCTGTGATGTCTGGCACAATAGGGTATTTTACTGTATTCGAGAAAAAATCTAAAACTATATTATTGAAATAGCTTAGGCAAAAGGCAATCGGTAAGTGTAGTTTTAGTGCATAAAATAACAAAAGGAATTTTTAAATTCAAATCAAACTTTTCAGGTTTTTTAATCTGTTCTATATTACCACGAAATAGCAGCCATCTTGTTATTACGTGATTCGGCTGTGTAAACAAAAGTGACAGCTGTCAACCTATAATGTTAAAAGTTTATGTATAGTACATCTAAAAATACTTATAAGTACATCATAAAAAGGGTTTCTAAAACACTGAGATATTTATAATCATTTCAGAGTTGCATTCCACATTATCAATGTTAATTTTCTTTAGCTTAACCATAAGGACATACATTTTCAAAGATTGGGTACATATATACATAAATAACGAGTAAATTAGTAAAACAATATAGCATTTTTATGTACAATTTATTTAATCAAAGAATCTTTCAAATTTATAAGAGCACATGCCGTTTTAATGCACAAGTCCAATAATGGGAAAATGAAAATGTAAATTTTAAATGCATTTTTAGGGTAGTTAGCGATTGAATAAAAATTTTGTATTTTTTTTAATACTTCACTAACACCATAGAATCAATTTGAGAGACTTTTTAAAAATGAGTATGTAGGTATATGGGTAATGTATCTCTCTTATAAAAAGTAGTAGGTATTTCATGTCATGTGTTGTGCCCTCTGCCTCGTTGGCCGAGTGATCGCAAGTGCGACTGCCGGGCAAGGGGTCTCGGGTTCGATTCCCGGGTCGGGCAAAGTATTACTTACTGGGTTTTTACAAATTCTCAGTAGTATCACGGAGTCTAGAATTGTGCCCGGTATATGGCAATAGGCTCACCCCCTATTACATCTGCCTACCCCTTCGGGGATAAAAGGCGTGATGTTATGTTTTGTGCAAAATTTTATTCAGATTCAGATGCATTCAATAAGATAAGTGATTCTGCGTGAAAGAGTAACATACGTATACAATACTACAGCGCGATTGTAGGTATACCTAATTCCTAAGAAGTAATAATCAATTTTATCATCGTAACTAGATTAGATTATCATCAATGATTAAAAAAGTGATGCCTTAAATATTCTTATTGATTTTACATTATGTTCTCAGTGGTGAATACTGAAAACACCGACGCAGTTAGTACCTATATTTTTCATTTCCCAAAGTACCCTAAAGTACTTAGACGGCCACTTGTCAAGTTGGAAAGCTTGATAACTCAATAGCTGCTAGACACATACATAGATCTACGGCGCACCTTCCAGGAAAGTAATCGAAGCGTTCTAAATAATTATATCTCGAGTTGAATTGAAGTGTTGACCATGTGATGTTGTAGCCAGCGTAGCTTGCTGTAAGATGACGTCACCATCAGACGAGTTAATTGATTCTCACTTGCAGTGTAGGAGTATGTGTAGAACTGGATTGTTTTGTAATGGTATACTTGTTTGGTCTAAACGATTGTAATGGCCTTTTAAAGTTTGTGTGCACAGCGGTCATTAGCCATGTAACATGTTACAGAGCAAACTGTTCTTTATGAAGCGGCCATTAAGAAGCCATTTTTTTTAAAGGAGGAAAAATCATCGAATTACTTCTCCAGCCTGAAGGAGGCGGTAGGGAGTGTCAGACATTTATCAACTAAAACCACCCCGTTTCTAGTCCCGGTAACCCGTTAGGTTCTCCGCGGCTCCGTATCGGCATTAGCCCTATTGGGCCCCTTTCGTGGTGGTCTAATGGCTCTTTGAGGCGGGTCTGGTTCTGGTCGGGCAGCGAGCTACCCGTGCTTGCCGTCCGCAGGCCCGTGCTTACGACCAGAGATCGCGCTTCGCTGCCTCACGCGCCCATGCGTAGAGGTTAGAGAGAGACTCAATATGATGTAAACCAAATTAATCCAATATTGATTGATTAATAGTTTCAAAATTATTACATCTGTCTCCAGATCTTCGTTCTCCGTCGGCCAGGGGTGCTGATGTCGGATAAGGTGGAGCTGCACATGGGAGGGAAGGTGGTCAGCATCGTGCGCAAGGAGCCCACTCTCATGACTCCAGTCTTCAACATCAACAACGCACATGACGTCCCAACACTACGGCTCAAGGGAGAAATCACTGATTACGACTTTCAGGTGATTTTTAGTACATTGTGCTTAACTTATTCTTTATGAGGGCATGTCTCGTGTACCTGTATATATTACTGTAGCTTCGCCCGCGGTCCGTGGCATAAAAATGACGCCTTTTATCCCCGATGGGGTAGGCAGAGGTGCAAATTACGGCATTTAATGCCACTGTACAATGTAACACCCACTTTTCACTATTTATGTTATGAGTCCCATGTAATAGGGGGTGAGCCTATTGCCATAAACCGAGCACAATTCCAGACTCCGTGCTACAACTGAGAATTTTTAAAAAACCCAGTAATACTTTGCTCGGCCCGGGAATCGAACCCGGTACCTCTCGCCTGGCAGTCGCACTTGCGACCACTCGGCCAACGAGGCAGTCTTCAGCCGTTTTGAAGTGATTGAGGAACATATATGTACATACATATAGTATATACAGACAAACTCTCAACTAACAAACGTTCGCATTTTTACAATATTATAATATGCACAATAAAACCCTTGTTTACTCGAAGATAAACCAGTTTTAAGAAATAATCAGTCCTGTTATTGTATTACTTGTTTTAGCTATTATGTGACCTTGTGTCTTAAAAACAAGATAACCCTGCAATGTCAGTGGAATGACCAAAAAATGCAAGAGATTTTGCATTATCGGAGTTTGGAACTCTGCCCGGTATTCCAGGCAATACATTTTATCGAATGCCTAGATTTAAATAGAGTCAGAAGTCTGGAATCCGTCTTGAGCAAGTGTGGTGATTACTGGTGATTAATGCTCATTCTTTCTACGTGTGGGATGAGGTCTTTGCCTAACAGAGTGACGGTTACTGACTGATTTATTGATTTTGCTGTAAATTATTGAACAAATAATACATATATAATCTGGAAAAAATAGCTATGCATGGCTTGAAAACATTGAAATGCTGAGTCATGTTCTTAATATATTCTAGTTTCATGTTTTTTTTTTATTAAGTGGATCCCAATTTTATTTAGGACATTTTTAGTAGGGGGTTCACTTTGATCGAAGAAGGTATTATTTACCTATTTATTTATTATTATTTATTATTACTTCTTCACCAAAGATAACAGTGAATGGCGGACTTAATGCCTTAACGCATTCTCTGACCGTCAACCATAGGGAAGTGCAGAGAAATTAAGTGGTTGATGCGAAGCCAGAACACAATAAAAAAAATTAATCATTATCTTCATAATTATGGAGAATTGAAGTCTCCTGAGAAACATAACTTAATATCACATCGTTTATCCCCGATGGGGAAAATAGAGGTACAGATCACGGCACTTAATGCCACTGAGAAAATGTTTCGTTAATCAAAACCGATCCTTATGGTTCATTTTCTGGCAACATTTATAATTAACCCTCTTCCCACGTATTTTAAACTGAAGAATCTCAAACTACAGTTGCAGACGATGAACAAGACGAACATCGGGAGCATCAACAAGAAGTTCCGCGGCATGCTGGAGGAGATGTTCAGCTACAATGACAACTACGTCATCAAGTTTCCTACAGACCTGGATGTGCGGTTCAAACTTGCTGTTATAGCAGCTTGCGTCTTAATTGTAAGTTGTCTTTTCTTTATAGAGATAGTAATAATTGAAACACCTGCATTCACCTGACTAACGAGCAGCCTTGCTAGCGGCCTTATCTATTGCGGTTAGGAAAACAAAATTTGAAAAAGAAATACAACATAATGTTACTCGAAAAATCTAGATGTATGCATGGAATGTGGTATGAGATGGTAACTGACGTCATCTTTATGCAATCTGTACAAAATACGGCCGCCATATTAACTTGTTATTAAGTCGACCGTTTGCAATAACAATCTTTTCCAATCTCAATTAATTGCAAGAATTATGGACAAATCTCTACATTTATGTGAATACAGTCAAGTCATATCTTCAGATCTTTCCAATAAAACTGAAATGAATAACGTTGAGTCATTAATAATTCTAAAATTAATACATACATACATACATAACCTCACGCCTATCTCCCATGGTGGTAAGCAGAGACTAGGTATGGAACGCCAATTGCTACAATTCTGACATACCTCTTTCGCTTCATCAACAGTCATCACTCTTTTCATGCACGTCGGTTTAGGGTACTTTTAATTTGGCCCTTCTTTAATATATCGTCAATTTGGTCGATATATTATGTATGTCTGTTTTTTAAACGAATACAAAATTAATACATATTCTACTTAAACTGTCAAACACCAAGCGGTCACCGGTGACCGCAACCTATTGTTCTATAATTGTGTCTACAAAACCGGTACTCGACGAGTTAATAACCGAAATTATTTTTAGGTATTTATACCGGATATTACCTTATTTACCATTATCATTCCGACATTGGTTACCATCCGGTAAATCTATACTTATAATAATATGCTCATAAAATCTGAAAATTAATAATCTATACTTACATATTATCTATACATATAATAAATTTGTAGAAGTGTAAATTCTATACATTGAAAATAACAAAAAAATAAGTAGTAGGGGTGTGCCGAACCCAAGAACTTGCTTAATCAATTTTTTGTCTGTCTGTCTGTCTGTTCACGCATCACGCAAGAACTACATGTCCGATTACGATGAAACTGGGTATGATTATACTTTAATATTCTGCGCACAACACTGAGTACACTTTATCCCGAAAAAGTTTATACACAAAAACGAACTGAAAGGTGCGGCTCGATCCCTAGACACAGTTTGTGTAACAAGCGCAAATATAAGTTTGCCGAATGTTAGGTTACCGGTTACCAGCAGGCTGAAGTGAGCGGGATAAAATGAAATTTGGAACATGGTAGATTACGGTCTGGGGTACACATAGGATACTTTTTACCCCCGGTAACGCGGGCGAAGTCGCTCGCAGAAGCTAGTATCTAATATGTTCTCTTAAATGGAATTGAATCGACGGACGTATGAGGATAATGTGTCGATATACGGATAAACATAATTAGTGTTAGATAGCTATAATGTAGGTATCTATGTATGTTGGTGCTTAGAATGTAGACGTGCTAATTGACTGTGGGCACGACCATAATGTCTAACAGACAATTTGTACGTTTTTAATAATGGAGGAAAATATTCAAAAGCCTTAAAAGGCTAAAATTCTTAGCTTTTGGGACGACCCCATCAGCACTTACTTATTAGGGGCCACCGCAGTCCTCTAAATAGACTAGCTCAGTCTGTGCAACGCTAGTTACTGTTGTATTGTAGCTCTCTTATTTTAAACTAGTACCTGGATGAGCTCGGTTCGGTGGTGTTTCTACGTACCTAAACGACATTTTTTGAATATGAAACCTAGCTAGATCGATTTATTGCCCCCGAACTCCCCAGATACAAGGTTTCAAGAAAAGCGTTGAAGCCGTTTCCGAGATCGTTGATACATATACAGGAATTGCTCGTTTAGAGGTACTAGATAATATGGTAGATGACTAATTTTTATTTTAATGTCCGTCTAGTAGTTTATTGAAATCATTAGGCACATATTTTTTATTTTAGGATACGAATAGTTTCGAAGATATATTGATTTGAAATATCGCATGACGTCACTTTTGAGTACGATTTATACTATAAAATGTACGTCATTTTAAAGTATAAATTGTACTCTACCTCCCCACTCCTAAACTTTGTATCGGTTTATCTAAGTATTGTTTTCTTATACGACAAAATAAAAAATACGTGTCTAATATTTTTTCATTACCTAACTTATGGACTAATTAAATGTTTAATTTTCATACCCTGTCATTATTCCTGTTTTATTTATCTGTTTTCAGGATTACCGGTACCACGAGCGTTAGCGAAGACGACAACCATTTATTTGGTTCAATGTTTCTTTAAATGTAGGTACTTGTAAGTGTAATTGTTTTGTAATTTCTAGTTATTATTAATTATTTTTATAATAAATACTACTTATAATAAGTTTCAGTCATCATAATAATTATGTAAAAGTTAAATATGTATTTGATATATCGTACAGAAAATCCCCAAAATTTGTTTGTACAAACGTAGTCTCTAAACATCGGAAATCCTTACTAATATTATAAATGGGAAAGTGAGTTTGTTTGTTTGTTTATTTGTTCCACTTTCACGCCGTAACTACGAAACCGATTGCTTTGAAATTTTGCCGACGTAAAGTTAGAAGTCTGGATTAAATAATAGGGTACTTTTTATCCCGGAAAAAATGTATATTATCGAGGGAAAACGAAATTATTGGTATAGATGGCGCTGTGTGTATTGGTATATGTCACATAGGCTACTTTTTATTATTTTGTGACGCGAGCGAAGCCGCGGGTAAAAGCTAGTAAGGTCTATAATGGAGTGAGTAGAGAGTCCCGCTTGGGGATTAGTCAAACGTAGGTAGAATTTCTATGGCTAAAAAGGCTATGTTTTTTGTAACAAAACATTTTTTACGCTTCGAGTTTCTGCGTATAATTATTCACCTATGTTATTTATGATTGCGTGCTTAAATTACAACCAGTACTTCGGTTTCAAATGCTACTTATGTCACGTTGAAATTATGCTATTTATAGCTAATTACTCATAGTCTAGCTAGGGTAATAAAACCTAATGAAGCCTAGAATAACGAAGTGAAAAACTAGTAATTACGTCGGGCCAGGGTTGGTGTTTACGTGCCTCAACTATTAAGGTTTTAGGGGCACTGCTAGCTATCAATGTAGTATTAGGTACAGAATTGTGTCTTATGCCGAAATACTCAAACGCCATTCAATAGGGTTGATGCCTAATTTTTATTTCAATGTCCGTCTGGTATTTTAAATCATTAGACACGTATACTTTCGACGATGTATTGATTTGAAATGTCGCGTGACGTCACTTCTATGTACATTTTATACGTAGAAATGACGTTTTAGCTCCCACTCCTAAACTTTGATTCGTTCTATCTAAGTATTGTTTTATTATATGGCAAAATAAAAAAATATACTTGTCTAATATTTTTTAATTACTGACGGAATAATTAGATTTTTAATTTTCATACCCTGTCATCATCCCTATTCTAAGTCGCGCTTAGGTAAGTATAGTCCTGTAACTACAAATTCTTTGTGAAATGACAGAGATGGCACGATCTTTAAGTAGATGCAACTTAAAATTGACTGCCCTTTCAGTTTTTGGGTGTGTACCTATGTATCTAACGTACGTATCTACGTCGTACTCCTTCGAATAAATAAATAAATATCTAATACTTATTATTTAACCTACCTAAATGTCAGATCATGGGTAACGGGGTGGTTTTTAGTAAGTAAGAGTCTGACACTCCCTCCCGCCTCACCCAGGCGGGAGAAGTCACTCGATAATTTTCCCCCCTTAAAAAAATGGGTCCATGTACTAATTCACTGTTGTATATTCTTGGAGACTATAGGTACCTACTTGATATTATTTTATAAAAGATCTAGGTTCCTAGTTTTAAGACTTAGGGTCGAATATTCCGAGTAGCTATAACGATTGTCATTTATACTTCTGTGACAATTGTAATAGTAATAATTAGACGCCAATTCTAGGAGTGACACAAACACAATATAACAAGTATATTCTTTCTTGTATTCATGAGAACCGTACCTAATAGCTAGGTATTTCTCTAGATTACCTACATAGGTAAATAGTAGATATAGATACGGAGGCACTTAACTAATAAGGCAATATATGTCATTATCAAATGTGATATCTACTTATAAGTACTTATCGTATTGTTTTACCTACTCAATTCTTATCATTGCATTTATCTGCTATCAAACAATTCTTTGCATTTCAAATGGACTGACAAGTAACCATTCACATCATAGTATGACTTTTTTTTATATTAGACTAGCTACTTCCCCGCGGTTTCACACGCTCTGCTCAGCTCCTATTGGTCGTAGCGCGATGTTTTATAGACTATAACCATCCTCGATAAATGCGCTATCCAACACAAAAAGAATTATTTAAATCAGACTTGTAGTTACGGAGATTAGCGCGTTCAAATAAACAAACAAAAAAACAAAATGTAATGGTAAAAATGATGTTCTGAAAAAGTTTTCGTGCGTTTTGTTAGGTACTTATTGCTTGTTTTGGAATAATTAGGTATATGTAAGGAAAGGATGCGTCTCTGTATCTAGTTTATTCTTTAGGTAGGTATCGTATTGTTTATAATACTTAGTTAAGTAGGTACTTATACATATATTTTGTGCCTTCTAAATTACTAAGTAAGTATGATTATTATATTAGTATGCTGAAGCATTATTGTCGTACTTAGATTAATTCAGATACTTAATAGTAAAGGATATGAAAGAAGTCTAGTCTGATTTTAGAATACAAAATTACGTTTTTTTCGTTTATTTAACTTTTGTGTTGCATCTTGTCTAAATGTTTATGTTTTTAATATTCTACTAAAGGCTGCAGTAAATGTATTACATTCCAGATATGTTTACAATAAATTATGCAATTCTGTCCTAACCAGATAGACATTGAGAAAGTTTTTTCACATTCGAGGTTTGCAATATTTCGAACACCGCCATCTAGTTTCTGGACACGTCAAACAACTGGCCCATTTGATTGTACACTAGTGAGTAGAGTTGTACCATTTTAGTTCTTACTTTTGTAACTAGATGTCGTTTGAAGCGGGACTTTCATCTTGATAAACACTTTACTAAACTATAAGTAAATTCTAAGATTTATGTACTTTATAAGATGATATTCTAAAGTTTTGAAATAAAAATATACTAAACATTTAATTTGTTTTCCTTACCCTTGATTTATTAGGAAACCTAACAAAACCTCAATTTACCTACTTTAATAACTTACCAGTGAGTTAGAATTTTTTTTTTTTGCTTTGTACGGTGGATTCATATCCACAGTGGAACGTTGTTGTTGTTTTAAAGTACCTATTTTATAATGTTTAGTTTATTTATTGGGAGACTTACAAATAAATGTTGGAGACAGATTATATATGACATGGCTCCTACATGTCATTTAACATGTTAAGCAATATTTTCATTAGGAAAGTAATAATGAACACACGAACTCACGAAATAACAACGATCCTCAAACTCCTAATCCCCAAAAGGCCAGTAACGCACTTGTAACGCCTCTGGTGTTCCAGGTATCCATGGGCGACACCGATTGCTTACCATCAGGTGATCCGTCTGTTCGTTTACCGGCTTATGCCATTAAAAAGCTCTGGCAGAATGTAAATAAATGGTAATTTGCGAATTACACTTCGGCAGCATCGGACTAAATGTCCTACAAGAAAGCAGCATTTCTCTAGCATAAAATAAGTAAATTACTGTGAAACCATCGTTAGTGGTAACTATCATTTTAATTGTTCTTAAAGATAATATGCTAAGTGTTATGTGGGTTACGATCAAAGTTGTTCATAGCTGGGAGCAGAGCCGTATTATCCTAAAGCAAAGTAGGCTAGTGCATAGGGCGCTAGGTTGTAGAGGCGCGCCGCCACGAGACACATGTGCCTAACTACCCATAGAGCGATATAGCGGCGCCAAAAAAGATTGGTGGCGTCTTTTTTTATTGTATACTAGCGACCCGCCCCGGCTTCGCACGGGTGCAATATGCATATATTATACATACAAACCTTCCTTAAGAATCACTCTATCTATTAAAAAAACCGCATCAAAATCCGTTGCGTAGTTTTAAAGATCTAAGCATACATACGGACATATAGCGAAAGCGACTTTGTTTTATAGTATGTATTGAAGCCAGTAAACGAGCCTACGGATCACCTGATGGTAAGCAATCGGCATCGCCCATGGACACCTGGAATACCAAAGGCGTTGCAAGTGCGTTACCGGCTTTAAGGATTAGGAATTTGAGTATCGTTGGGGATTCAGGAATTGGGGAGATTGGGGGGGGGGGGGGGGTATTTGTCCTCCGGAAACCTCACTCATACAACGAAACACAACGCAAGCGTTTTTTAACGTCGGTCTGCTGTAAGGCCGTGGTATCACTCCGGTCGAGTCGGCCCATTCGTGCCGAAGCATGGCTCTCCCACACTTATCTAGCCCGCCTATGATGTGCTTCCTTAGGGCGCTCGCTAGATTCAATCCGCCCCTGGCTGGGAACCTGGTGTAGTGTGTAGTACTTGTTCTTAACACCTGCCACGTGTAGTTTAAGTAATCAGGTAATCTGGAAGTTCGTTGTCAGTTTTCGACTAGAATGCTCAGTGTTCAGAGCTGGTTACTTCAACATTTTGTCAGATTGTTTTGTTAGCAAAAGCTGGTGCTCTTTTCGAAGGTTTCTAAAATATTTTGAAAAGCATAGGTAATGAATGGTTAAAATAATCGATTTTCCATATTTTTTCTTTATTTGATGGACCGACGTTTGGTAACTATCTCGTCTGGTGGTACGATGCGGTCTACGATGTGGCACGTCGACCCATAAGCAACCTATTCACTCGGGCCTTGAAGACGCCCAGGTTATACCCTACAGGAAACAAAGACTCTGGCAAAGAATTCCAATCCTTAGTAGTACGCACCAGGAAGCTAAGTTCCATATCCAAATGGGCCATATGTGGATAAATGTTTAATTTTAAACATAGAAATTCTCACGATGACACTATCTCAATGATTTTTGTCTCTAAGTAGACATTTAACGAAATCAACAATACCTAGGTAAGTACTACATATTTGTACTAGTTTATGTCTCTGTGTGGGAACACATTTATTTAACCTGAACATTAAGGTGTCAATAGAACACGGACCCACCTTGTCCGGTCCTCAATGAATTAATGCTAGAGCTACCTTCGTTTAATCAACGACGAAGCCTTTCAGGAGCGATGAGATTGCTTCCCCTGCCTCATCTGCTCGCCAGCTAATCATAAGATGGCAGAGATATGAAATTGTGCTTCTAAAATTACTTTTATGCAATCCTGGAGT